CCGGTGCAATCCGAGGGACCAGACATTCCCTCAGATACCGCTCAACATCATACTCCATCGCATAACCCATTCCTCCAAGCGTCAGAACAGCTCTTTCACACGCCGTGAATGCTGCCTCGGCCGCAAGATACTTGGCGCTGTTGCAAGCCACCCCTACCGAATGGAAGGGAATCGAGCTATCCGTTCGCGAGGCATCATACAACCGCGCAGCATGGTAAGTCGCCAACTTGGCCGCTTCTAGTTTCATATACGCATCTGCCAGTGGATGCGCAATACCCTGATTTTGTCCGATGGGACGTCCGAATACAACGCGGTCGTTGGCGTATTGCGTCGCGCGCTGGAGCGCCGCATAGCCCAGACCTAACGCTTCACCGGCCAGCAAACAGCGTTCCGCGTTCATCCCATGGAGGATGATCTTGAAGCCTTCATTTTCTTCTCCTATCAGCGTATTCGCGGGGATCTGGTAGTTATCGAAGAAGACCTCGTTGGCGTCGACGGCGCGACCGCCCATTTTCTTGATCTTGCGCATGTCCAGACCGGGTTTGTCGCGATCGAGGCCGATGCAGAACATTGATAAACCGTGGGTGGATCTCTTTACTTCTTCGACGGGTGTCGTACGCGCGAGCAGAATCATCTTGGACGCGACTTGCGCACAGGTGATCCAGATCTTTTGCCCGGTGATAGAGTAGGAATCACCTGAAGCATTTTTGGTGGCGGTGGTTTTGAGTTTCAACGTCTCTAGGCCCGTGTTAGGCTCTGTGACGCCAAAGCAGGTCCGCCATGTCCCATTGATGATTTTGGGAATCGTCTCCTCGAGCTGCTCCTTGGTGCCGAATTTGGCCAGCGGTTGTGTCGCATACACGTTTGCATGGATGGCCTGAGCACCGGCCATCCCTGCGCCGGATTGAGTAATGGTCTGCATCATCATTGTAGCTTCTGAGATTCCTGCTCACAGTCAGTAGCCTGGACTCTGGCTACATTGAACATGATGTACTGACCCAGTCCAGCGCCTCCCAATGCCTCCGGCAAAGCAATTCCCAACCATCCGTCCTTGGCTAGTGCGGCATGGAACTCTTTGGGATCGCGCTCATTCTGATCACATTCCTGCCAGTAGGTGTTGGGAAATTTAGAAGTGATCGCTGAGATGGCGTCGCGGACAGTGAGTTGTTCTTCCGTGAAGCCCGTCAGTTCCATCAGTGGCCGACGCGCCGAGGTTGAGAAACGCGATCGGATGAGCGGCCATTGCAGTCGGACAGCTAATGTCCTATGATGAAGTGCTCGCCAGGCCAGATGCGACATTTTTAGTCATTGAACTATAAATCTTCGTTCTTTGCAGGCTGAGAACTGACCATATAAATCATGCAAGAAAATCAAGCCGTTTAACCGTCATAGCCGTTAACCGGCAGGTAACCGCAGACCCCGCACATCCCGGACATCGATCACTTGGAGTAAGGTGAGCATCTCGATCTCCTTATTGAAGTAATAAATAGACGCATGCCTCTAGAAATGAACATTGCAAGAAATTGACGCATAATGGCTCTCATTAGGCCCAATGTCCGGGCTCTGCCGCGACAGTTCCCGGTCATCCACCGCAACTCGTCAACAACCGCCTCTACCAAGACCAACACCAAGCGACAACAAAAGAAAGGTCCATTGACAGGCATCACAGTAGTCAGTCTCGAACAAGCCATTGCAGCGCCGTTCTGCACCCGCCAACTGGCTGATCTCGGCGCTCGCGTCATCAAAATCTAACGCCCCAAGGTGGGCGACTTTGCCCGCAACTATGACACTCGTGTCAACTGCCTCTCTTCGCACTTTATCTGGACCAATCGATCAAAAGAAAGCCTGGCCCTCGATGTCAAGAAACCCCGCGACTATCGCATACTCATGCGACTGCTCTCCCGCGCCGACGGCCTAGTTCAGAACCTCGCCCCGGGAGCAAGCGCCCGACTAGGCCTGTCGTTCGCAGACTTATCGGAAAAGCACCCCTCTCTAATCATCTGCAACATCTCTGGCTACGGGCAAGACGGACCTTACCGCGACAAGAAAGCATACGATCTCCTCATCCAAAGCGAGGCAGGTCTGCTCTCCGTCACAGGGACGGCCACCGAGCCGGCAAAAGTCGGCATCTCAATTGCGGACATCTCTGCAGGCAGCTACGCATACTCAAGTATCCTTGCTGCTTTGTTCGAGCGCAAAAGGGACTCCGAGCGTCGTGGGCGCAATATTGGCATCTCCATGCTGGAGAGTATGGTCGAGTGGATGGGTTTTCCCATGTACTATACCTATGGGGACCAGCCGGGCCCGACCCCTGCCGGTGCATCGCATGCGGCGATTTATCCGTATGGACCATTTGAAACAGGCAAGGGGACGGTCATGCTGGGGATTCAGAATGAGCGGGAGTGGGCTAAGTTTTGCGAGATAGTGCTGGAGAGGCCAGAGATGGCGATGGATGAGCGCTTCTGTAATAATTCATTGCGGGTGAAGAATCGCGATGCATTGAGGGAGATAATCTGTAATGCCTTCGCAACTTTCTCTGCCGAGGGGATACTACGGCGCCTGGATGAGGCGGGCATTGCGAATGCCATTGTGAACGATATGCAAGGCGTATGGAACCATCCGCAATTGAGAGCCAGGCGGCGCTGGACGCAGATCCAGACATCTGCAGGGACTGTGCCAGCGCTGTTTCCTCCGGGAATGGAGCCGGATGGGTTTAAAGCTCAAATGGGTGCAGTGCCGGAGATTGGACAGCATAACGAGGCCATATTGGCTGAGTTGGGGATGGATAAAGACATAGGGTAAAGGGGCTTTGATACGTAGCATCTCAGTTTTAGGTTTGCTTGAGTTACAGGAATATGTATCTGCATAAATAGTGTCCATACTATTATGTGATCTGTCAACTATACTACACGGCTAGGTTAAGAAGGTGTCTGGACGATGTGCTCCTTAGCTAGTGATAGTATCCAACATGATGCATACACATGTGTATTAGATAATTTTGTCCAAGGACACAGAATCACATCACATAACAAGCCTATCATCATTTCTGACGCCTAGACCAGACAGTTTGGGACAGGATATGGAGCTATACACCAGTGCGTTATAGGTTTGACTAGTCTTAAGCTTAGCACCCCTTTAGCATCTGCTAAGCGACGTGCCTCAGAAGTTAGTTGATCTATGTCTGCCCGTCTGTGGCATGAAGGGTATTCGCTCATATGCTCAAGGAGGGCAGTGCAAATCTGGCGCATGTGTTGGGAATTCCGTACAACTATTCTTCTGCCTCTCGTTGTCCACGTATGTGACCACAAAGGTGTTACCTGATACTATTCCGCTTCTTATTGGGCGCTTCTAAAAGAGGATGCGACAGGGATTCTCGGTATCGTTTAGTAGTCGCCAACACCACCAAAATTATTCAAGGTTGATATAGAGAAGTTGAAAAGTCAGACAAACTGAATGAAAGTCCATCTGGATAGATTAATATAATCCGTGGTGTGCATTTCGTCCTTTGTCACCTTATTTCAGCAAGTAGAGCAACCCAGCGGATCTTCCGAATAACATTTGTCTTACCATGAGAATCCTGTTCCTGCTTGTCTCTTCCATCATCGCTTGTGTCCTCGGATCGAAATATCGGAGAAACCGCAGAGAAAAACAAGCAAAAGAAGGGAGACATTATACCACTTACGACTATTCTACTTCCGTCGTCCCGGCGCACCCTCCCCCTTACAAAGAATGAGTGCATTTTCCGTCGCTCAGCTCGCCATCTACTCGGTTCTCGTATGTCCAGCGGTGTATCTGACACTGTACCATCATCGAAGGGGGTTGTTAGGCTGGGGCTATCTGCTGGCGTTTTGTATACTGAAGATCACCGGCGGTGCCCTCTCGATTCACAGTAGCAGCTCCGGGGCAAAGATTATTTCAAGCGTTGGAATCTCGCCTCTGCTGCTCGCTCTAGATGGAATACTACACGAAGCGTGCGTCATCCTCCGAGGGGAACAAGGTGACATTGCTGACTTGCCTGAGCAGAAGGGCGTACCGCACTCCCAACTTGAACAAACGTTCAGAATACGCATTTATGACCTTCGTCCACGTGGTCGTTGCCACCGGAGTTGCCATGGTTGGCACAGGAGCCGGTGGTCTGGCCGGGAAGAACCCAAAAGCGAGCGATCAGACGAATCTCGAGGTTGGAATGGCGTTGCTCGAGGCATGTTGGGCAATATTGACCGTCTGGGCTCTGTGGACATTGAAGGATTGCAGTGAGAAGACCATTCCAGGGATGAAGGAAGGCAACATGGTAGACTTTACCCCAATACGAGAGGATCCGCAAATCAGTGTGCCATCGTCAGTGCTAATGCCTTGAATGCCAGCTCCTCCACGGCGTGCTCTTAGCGACGGCGTTTGTCGGCATCCGGGTTACGTACGGACTGATCGCGGAGTCAACCCAGAAACGAAACCTGAATCCGGTGGCTGGCTCCCTAGGCATTCGTACTGTCCTTGGTCTTCTACCGGAGCTCATTACATCTTTGATCTTGATGTTCGTTGGCTTTCGTACACGACATATCGGTGGATATAATCGCCGAATGGTGCAGACAGGCGAGACATAAACGGAAGCATGCTGGATTGCATTGAGGGAGGAGAGACGAGAAGAGTCGAGTAACATGTTCAGTGGTGTAGGATGGACTTCTCTGAGTGGAAGGGAGGCTCTTCTATGCTTTGATTCATACTTACTGGGTTGATCTGTTGAGTCTTGCTGGGGACGTAATGCTGAAAGATCGCTTCCAATCAAGTGTTGAACCGATTATACCCATCCATGACATTGAGGAGAATAGTCTTTACTAATTCGGCTTATATTCTTCTGGAGCGTGTAGAAATAAAAGGTGCCAGATGCAATGGGAGGAAAAAGAGCCCAATCAGGGAAATACTACTGCCTGCAAGCTAGAGGTGGGGTTTGGCGCCTAAGGTAAATTCGCGCCGCTCACTTTCTTTTCTCTCCCCTTCCACCGGGTCAATCCCGTTTTCCCTTGATCATCTGGCATATCAAGTCAGTCCATGAGCCTTGACTGTGCACAGTGTACCTAAGCATCGCTGCAGATGTACCCTTGCACAGTGCTTCAGGTAACCCTAAAGCAGGGGCGATCGGCTATGACCCAAACACATAGGAAAGCAACAACGACTGATGCCCCTCAAACTCAAGGAAAGTCAACCAGTCATGCGCAAGAAGAGCGGCCCGCGACTGGCCCACCGAAAATCCCGAAACGGATGTCAGCGATGCCGCGCTCGTAGGGTGAAGGTTAGTATGTTGAAACATGATATGTTTCCCCGCCGGTCGGACTGATACCACGCCAGTGTGATGAAGCGCGTCCAGTGTGCCGAGATTGTCATAGGCATGGGGTCGCCTGTCTCTATGACAGGTCCGAAGGCCAACCCCCTACCGCTCAAACCGAACAGCAACGCAGGTCCACACCTCATGCCCCTTCCCCTCCCTCGCAGATAGCATTGGCTGGCAGTCACGAAGCTGCTACGGCTGCAGCTACCACAGCATTATGCAGTCGCCCGCGGTGGGAAGGTGAATATCACGCGTACACGGAGCTGCGTCTCCTGCATCATTTCACCATAGGAACTAGCCTCACCTTACCTGGAGCCCATCTCCAGAGCATTAAAGACTGCTGGTCAATTGAGGTTCCCAGGCTAGCCTTTGTCTACAAGCCACTGCTGTATGCCATTTTTGCAATATCTGCCCTTCATCTGTATAAGAGCAAATCACACGAGACGGACTTGGTCGGCGTTCGGGCAGTCTATCTAGAGCGGGCTTTGCGAGACCACAGAGTGTGCGTGGGAAGTATAGATACAAGGATTGCCGACGCAGCGTGCTTTACATGCATTCTCTTACTTATCGACGCGTTTACGTCTTTGCAAGATCGTCCTCTTGACCCATACAGACCGCCGATGGAATGGATGCAATTGGTCAGAGGCTCGGTATCGGTATTCGATGCTGCGCTCAGCGCCATTCAAGAGAGCAAGTCAGCTAGAATCTTTTCTATCATTCATTCGTCGCCTTCATTCACAGAGCCAAACTTTACAGCCGGCAGCTGCGATTGCGGCCATTTCTCGTATTTGCTGCCGTCCGAAGATTATGGTGAGGAGGATGGCGAACAATTACGGCTCCCGACACTGGAGATATACAGATCGACAGTGGCTTACATTAACTCTGTTTGGCTCGCTATAGAGGCACAGGAGCATCCGGCGATGATATGTCGACGTCTGATGGTGTTTCCCTTGATCGTTTCCCAAGAATTCCTCAAGTTACTCAAGGAGATGGAGGACCGTGCTCTGGTAATTCTAGCTCATTACTTTGCGCTTTCAGCTACATTGACCGATATCTGGTGGGTCGGTCATACTCCACATAGGGAAGTTCTCGCCATTGGAAAAATGGTCAATGGGCAATGGGTAACCTCAATGTCATGGGCTCTCACTACAGTCGCATCACATTGCAGAATATGTACACAAAGCTAATCATGGACCCGTTCGATCACCGTAAGGCCCCCTTCAATAACTGCACTTTGGATTACGGGCATCTTCAAAGGCACCAACAGCCGGCTCTGCTTGAAGTACTCACTCGCCCATCGTGTTACACGCGGCAAATGTTCCTAGCTTGTCATCGGCGTCACTGTTTTCTACTTGTCCCAAATCTCGGCCAAGTACTCGCGACCCGCTGTGACAAGGCGTGGGAAGCTTCCATGGCTGAGGACATGTCCAAGATGCCATTGACAAACGCCTCTCTGGCCCCTGGAATTGCGGCTTTTTCGTCTCGGGTCAGAGTCTGATCCACGACTCGGCTGATCTAGAGCAGCAGAGCCCTGGCCAGGGCTATAATTGGCTGAATTAGGCATGGATACGGACCTAGACAACATAGCACTGAGCAGTAATTCCATCTTATAAGCTCTTACAGGTAGTTTTATACGCAATACTCCACTGTGTATGGAAGGTTTTCAAAGAAGCGATAAAGAAGAGGAGAACAGTAGTGGTGCTAAATAAGAGTAATCGTTCACGGAAGAATAGCCATAGCTATGATCGACAATCTACGCCCGGGGCAGTTTCATTCATTTGTTGCTTAAAACATCTGCATAATCCCTAATCATGGGACTACAAGAACACGGAGAACACAGGTTTACATATTCAACCCATACAGCCGCTGACTCAGGTCTAGGCTGGCCGTGGATTGAATATAGGTTGATCCATATCCAACCTAACCCATGAGGATTATGGCTTGATCCACCACCTATCTAACCGCACCTCATATCCATGCGAGTTGGATTGTGGACAACCTTACAGGAGGTGCAGAGGTCATAGAATCGGGAAAGCTGGATTTTGCGTTTTCCCGGTGTCTGGAGGATGGTACCTCTCGAACGTGACGGCTTTCGGATCCTCCAGCTGTACAGATGCAATGTGATTGATACAGGTGAAATAAATAATGTGGTAGAACATAGTCGCAATGTCAATATTCCCAAGGTGCCAGCAGCCCGAGAAGATGTATTGAAATATAAACCACTAGGCTAAAAGGGTGTCCGGACATGATTCCTATCAGTCTAGGGCTCTATATACTTTTCAACGAGCTTCTCAGGAAAGAAGACCAATTCAGCACAGCAAGCGTCTCTCCTGCCAACAGACATCACTGCGGCAAATGAATGGTAGAGTCTGTTTAATTTCACGGGTGACTATACGCATGTTGTGGAGACATCACCGTCGCAAGCGGACCCGGTCCATCCGCAGAATTTGGAGTCCTTGTATCGTTTTCTCTGACGATAAATTAGTTGCATGTCAGACTAGGCCATCATATGTTTTCGACACTTCGTGGAGCAGCTCTGCTGGGCGTAGTGGAAGAGTTGTGGGGCCAATGCGAAGCAAAGCCCCAGCAAGCGGGGAAGCCATTCCTTGAAGCAGTTTGTGTTTCAAAAAACAAGAAGCAGGCAGGGTTGATGATCATCTATCTAAATCTAGTCCGGTGTTGTGAGTTCGTGGAGTTGTATATCAGTGAAACATGATAGGCCAATACCGAATATCCAAGCTGCAGATCTATCGACCAATGTCTGTTCAGCAGTGCTCGTATCCGGAGTAGATCATGGGCATGTACGGAGTAGATCCATACCATATCTGAATCAAGCTATGCTCAAGCCCCGGTGATATCGATCGACTCGTACTTTTGGGAATCTGAGATAAACTACTTCTCGAAAGCAAATTAGAATCCACGCAATCGCAATCATTTTTCTTAGCTTTTACCGCTATTTCGGTGCAACATAATATGCCAACTGTACAACTCGTACGGAGGACTAGTGTCACTACTTGGAATTTCCGAAGCTCGGGAAAGATCAGGAAGGCGATTGCTAATAGAAATCCCCACTGCGGATTCCCGACACCGGATTATTCCCGAGACGATGGCGTGTCCCCGCTACCGAGTCAAGTTTTCCCACAGAGATAAGGAGATATAATCCAGGGGATCCAGACAATATGACTCACTTGGTTGTCTTAATTTTCTTCATTCTTGCATTGATTTCAGTGGTTGGTTCTATCATCGTCTAAAACCAAATCTTCCAGACAATGCCGGCGTCAGATATCAGTGACACAGAGCTCCCTCCTCGATACAATTTTATCGATGATTACAGCGAGGGAGCTCATCCGCAGATTCTAGAATCTCTGTTACGGTCAAACACCGCACAACAATCGTCCTACGGGACAGACGAGTTCAGCAATGAAGCTCGACGGCTGATCCGCGAGAAGCTCAACGCCAGCGAGGAGGAAGTTGCCATTCATTTTGTCCCTAGCGGAACATCAGCCAATTTAATCTCAATTGCTAGCTGTTTACGGCCCTACGAGGCCGTCATGGCTGTGGAGTCGGGCCATATTGTCTCCAAGGAAGCCGGTGCAATCGAAGCCACAGGGCACAAGATGATCCTAGTCCCTGGAGTAAACGGGAAAATGACCCCGGCGAACCTGGAGCGTGTATTCGAGCAGAATCAATTCTTTCCACACATGGCCAAGCCAAGGCTGGTGTATATATCCAACGCTACCGAGCTGGGAACGATATACACCAAGGCCGAACTGTCAGCCCTCTCGGCAGTTTGCAAACGACTCGGACTGCTCATCCTGGTAGACGGTGCACGATTGGGAGTAGCGCTGAGCGCAAAGAACAACGACCTGACCCTGCGCGATATGGTCGACCTCACCGATATCTTCTGGATTGGCGGGACCAAGATGGGAGCATTGCTGGGTGAGGCGATTGTGGTCAAGCAGCATCTGGCCGAGGGCTTTGTCTTCCATCTCAAACAGCACGGGGCTCTGCTGGCCAAGTCCCGTGTGATGGGTATTCAGTTTGTCGAGCTCTTCCGGACACATCTCTTCTTCGATCTGGCGACGCATGCGAACAACATGGCAGCGAAGGTCTCGGCCAACTTTGAGAGGCTAGGGTATACCCTGGCAGCGCAGACGGAGACCAATCAAGTATTTGCTATCCTACCCGACCGCGTGATTCGCAGACTGCAGGATCGGTTTGGGTTCTATATATGGGAGAAGCGCGAGGATGGACATGCGGTGGTTCGGATTGTGACCTCGTGGGCTACAGATTCCCTACAGGTGGACAAGTTCAACAGCTGGGTGCAGCAATGGACCGAGCTGGATGTATGATGCATATGATCAACGGCATTTGTGATGAGTTAGCGATAGACAGCCTGCATAGCATTAATCTTAATGATCGCTCTATTCTCCGAGGTCCGGATTATTAAGGAGAGAGCGGAATATATTTTGAGACTACCCCGTTGTCAAGCGACGCAACCCTTGGAAATATTCTCTAACCTCTTTCTATCCGTCGATCACTCTCTGTAGCAGACTAGAATGAATCTAGAACAATGATTTCTTTTGGTGATGTCAAGGAAGAAAAAAGAAGCTTCCTTATCATGCGCTTTACCCGATTTGGAAGAATTGTGGTTATCTCCGCACTGAGAGTGAAATCATCATTTACGGGAAAGTCGGGATCCATTCCCGACCACGCAACTATCAGTCCGTATCTGCATTTGAAGATTATCATCATCTTAATTGAGGGACTGAAAACAATGGCAGATCAATGAGTTGATCTTGTCGATGGGCCATTGAGAATGCGACTTTCAGTATCCTGCGACAGCTGCCGGTATGTCCCTTGTTACTCTGTAGCCTGTGTGGTGATCCTCGGGAATCGGGAATAACCTCCAAACGAGCCAATCCGTTAGCATGGCCTGGACTTACCACTCGGATTGATTCGCTGACCATCATTGTTGTTCTGTATAGTCAAGCAAAGGTCAAATGCATTCATGAAGGCCAACCGCCATGTCGTCGCTGTCAACGGGCGAAACTGACCGACTGTCAGTTGACGGACACATATTCGTCCCCGTCAAGGCGATCAAAGAGAAACACATTGAAATCAAGGAGACAGCGAAGAGTGATATCTGAACCGACAACCGCTCTCAATAGCCCACCATTACCTCCTGCACCGCAACCCGACCGTTCATCACCATGGGGCGCTCAGAATCCCGTGGAGGCCCTGCCTTCATCCACCATCATTGCCGTGTGCGAGACCTACCGCAAGAAATTCCCCGTCGCCAATTTCCTCCACTATCCGTCCCTGATTGCAGAATTATCATCAAGTCCCGCCTCGATTGATCCAGTTTTTGTAGCAGCTCTTCTGTCATTATGTGTGAGGTTCATGCCCGATCACCGTCTGGAGGCAGCCGAAACATATGCGGAATATGCTCGCAAGGAGCTCGCGCATCGCGCGTTCGAGGCCCCGTCGCTCTACCTTGCGCAGTCTCTGGTGATGATCACCTTTTACGAATGGGGTTCCGGTCGCCCCTACAAGGCCTGGATGTATAGTGGTATGTCCACGCCTCTCGTTCCATATACGAGGCTAATGATGTCAGGAATGGCAACGTACATGATCCAGTCCCTCCTCAAGACGGCCGACGACAGCATGGAGCATAATCCACAGGACTTCCACGCTAGCCTAACTCAGTATGAGCAGCTGGTCCGCACGTACTGGTGCTGTTTCGCGCAAGACTGTGAGCTGAGCTCTGGAGCACGTCAGCATTTCGCCCTTTCCTTTCGACAGATCTCAGTTCCGTTGCCGACCAGTGACCGCGACTTCAACTTTGGTCGGCTCTCATCACATCGCTTGATGCCCTCCGATATGAGCAAGCACTCACCGTTGTCGAGGAATCTAACCATTGACTATGGACTGACGATTGTCACCCGAGGGTTCGATATCTTTGTGCGGATTCTGCGGTTCGCGAACGAGAGCCGGCGCGGTCGGACATTGACGTTCCCTCAGGATCCTTCATCGCCGCGCGTGGTCTGGCAGCGCTTGAAGGAGGAGCTGGACGAGTGGAGGTTCCTACAGGATGTGACGGTGCGATACCCAGCCACCAGTGCGCAGGCGCATGTTGCCTTGGGATACGGCGAGCTGTTCGCATACATTAATCTGGTCTATTTTATGAGGTATGCCTACCTTTCTGAAAACTCTTGGGCGGTTCTAATCACAGCTTAGTATCCTCTTTCTGTTCCGAGACCAGTTCCTGTCCAGTCTCAAGCCTCATGCCGACTTGCTCCATGATTTGCAGCCCTTGAGTAATGTAGATGAGTCTCAGGCTATCCGGCAACTCTTCGACGCAGCGCAGAATATCGGTGGCATCCTTTCCGCCCTCGAAGTCTCCGGAGCACCGGTAATCACACCTTACTCTGGCTTCAGTGTTTTTGTTGCGGCTCATATCAACATGTACGGGACTGTGTGCCCGCAGCGATATCCTGGGGGAATCGAGCGAGCGGAAGAGGAGAAAAGGGCCAACCTGGCATATCTCGAACGACTGAGCAAATACTGGCCCGTTGGACAGAACTGGGTGAGCATCGAGCTTCCAATTTGCAGTTGATTACATAGCTAACCAACACAGTGGCGAACCGTCCAGGAAGCCAACAGATTCTACGAGATAGCCCGAAACAATCAAATGCACGTTCGTGACGGGGCTGGCCATCTCACAATCGCGGGAACCTTGGACGAATATGGTGACATTCGAAGTGTACGACCGCGTCAGGAAGAGTCACAACATATTTTGGAGCGGGAGAATATGCCAACAGCGACTAGGAATCGAAATAACCATCAAGCATTAGGGGGCGATAGTCGTCACACTGGGACAGCGACCATAGATGCAGTGCCCTTGAGCGAATCTCATGAGCTAGAGGTGGAAATGCTCCAGTGGCCATTTATTGATGAATCATGGTCGTTGGGGTTTGACACTGGGTTTGATACTGCATGGCCGTCTTTGGGGGTTGGTTCATAGAAAGCATCGACGGCTTGAAACTTGAAATGAAATACCTACTCAACTAGATCTGGGAGACGATATGCATAATTATCTGAAGAGATATCAACATTGGCACTCATACTACGTGGAGTATATCTACTACTACCGTAGGATAGGCACCGTTTGAATTATTTGGCAGATCATCGGAGGTGACCAGTTGGCGAGCCTTCATATTTCGTGTCCGTAAAGGGAAGCCAAGACCTGCGCAGTCCCCAAGGTACTCACTCCTCGTCTAGTTAAATATACTCGACTCGCTCCTCTTCCCCTTCTCTTCCATGACAATGTCTATTGTCTCCGTAACTGGGCAGTTGCATCAACTTGATTTTTCACTCCGCTATTTTTTCAAGCAGGGTTGGCTCTATCTCGCCATCTAAGTTGTTCTCGTCACATCACAATATGTGATGCGCGCCTCGGATTTACTCGGCACTGAAATGACATAAAAACATTTTACAACATCGTGATCATGGCTGGCTTTGATCAACAGCATGATTGAGGATATCTTTCACTTTGCTACTGACCATACTAACATTCCAGGTTAAAGCCGTACACTGCTTCCCATGTCTGGGATCTGACCTTCCCTCGCTCCGAGAGGCACCAACAGGGTGAACTGATTTTGATCCGACGGTTCCGTTCCGGGCTCCAGCCTGCATCCTGAGTGAAGAACCAATTGCCGTGCTCGTCCGGAATGAGTCACTCCGTTGTGTCGGTTCTCGACGTACTATGACTAATCCCGGCGAATAGACGAGGGGATTCCCCACATTTCGCCGATTTGGCCTGCTCAGTAGCAGTCAGGTGTCAGTAGTACGGTCTGCAGACTATGCACTGCGTCTGGCATAGATAGGGCTCTGAGGCGTTTATGCTGCTTGGTCTTTGGGCGCGCCCATGACATCGCTGGCGAGCTGAGACACCCCGGCCGAGGTCGAGGTCCGACACTGGCAGGTCGCCGTTCTGACCTGTGTCACATCGGTTTTTTTTCTAGACAGGAAAATTTTGGGCTACGTCATTTATGAGGGAGCGACTCGCATCTTTTACAAACCATTCTGCACCTGAGGGAGCCTGGCAACCAAAATTGTCCTTTGTCTGAAGATTTTCGATTGTACATATTTTGTCACTTAATCAATATTCTCTGGCTCATCATGTTCTCCCATCTCAAACGCGAACACCGTCTGATCCTGGTAATCAGCATTTCTGCGTCCTTTTTCCTAGCAGAAATCGCAGGTAAAGTTTGATGTCTGCATGTCTAGCGACCGCCTGGTTAACGAAATATCAGTCGGATTCTATACCCGTTCTCTGGCACTGGTCGCAGACGCATTCCACTATGTTGGTGGCATATTCGATGATGTAGAAGTGATACTGATATACTTGCAGCTGAATGATCTTGTCGGCTTCATTGTGGCGCTGGTAGCGCTCAAGGTAGCGAAGCTCCTCCGTGTGTGAGAGTAAAGCTAAAGAGTCAGATCTCGCAACGCAGCAAACACCCTAAAGAGCTTTCTTTCGGCTGGCAGCGCGCACAATTATTGGGTGCCTTTTTCAATGGCGTTTTCCTCCTGTCTCTGGGGATCAGCATTTTTCTTCAATCCATCGATCGCTTTGTCTCGTTAGAGCGTATGGTATTCGCCCTGATGGATGCAATGTACTGACACCTGCAGGAATTGAAAACCCCAAGCTTGTGCTGATCATTGGCTGCGTCGGATTGGCGTTGAATCTGATCAGTGGATTGTTCCTTCATGGTTCGTTTCCATCCAGAAGAGGATTGAGTATCAGACTAAAGTCCATAGAACACGACCATGGTGAAAGCAATACCCCGATTCATGCGATGACGACCTGGAACTCTCAACATCCCTGTCAAGGCTCGAACGCAGGAATTCCTTTTCCACTCGAGTAAGTCGTTGCGTCGGCGTCAGCTTTCCCAGCTAAGACCCTCCTCAGGTCCTGCGCCCTCACGTCGAGCACCGACACAACGTCAAGTCACAAGCGAAGAAGGGCCATGATCTCGGAATGATGGGTGTCCTTATCCATGTTCTGGGGGATGCAGCGAACAATCTCGGGGTTATTATTGCTGCGTTGGTAATCTGGAAGGCCAAATATGACGGAAGATACTATGCCGATCCTGCTGTGAGCATGGCGATTGCGATCGTGATCCTCCTCTCGTCGCTTCCTCTAGGCATGTAGCCCAGGCAGACCCTGTGGACTGTTACTGACTCAAATAGTGCGGAAAAGTGGAACCATTCTGCTGCAGAGCGTCCCGCTAGGCGTCGACCCGGAAGATGTCAAGCATGATCTTGAAGCTGTAAGTATTGATTCCGGGCATGTTTCCACATATTGACTCGGTTCAAGATTCCTGGCGTCGAATCTGTCCATGAACTGCATATCTGGCGACTCAACCAGGAAAAAGCCCTTGCATCGGTGCATCTGGCAGTCTCCGATGAGCTAATCGCCGATTTTATGGACAAGGCCAAGATTATCAATGAGTGCTTCCATGCGTACGGGATCCATTCCACAACCTTGCAGCCAGAGCATGTCCGTCCCATTCCCAGCGACAGCCGATCAATCCAGGGCCGGGAAACCGCAGAGTTGATCGTTGATGGAGGAGTCAAGAAGCGCCATGTTGTCGACCCCAAGTCTGGATGTTCGTCGGAAACCCTGTCGACATGTTTGATCAATTGTGGGAGTACCTGTGAAGGGTACACATGCTGCAGTCGGGATAAGTCGCTCTAAGATTTTTACTTCAATTGAAATATGTCCAGGGGCATGGTTATAAAATTGGCTAGGTGATATCATGAGACTTCGGGTTCGGGTCGGGATGCCGTCGTGAGGTCATCTCCGGCATATCCGGACCCCATAGATAATGGTAAAAGTAACACGTACCCCATCTCTTCGTTTAATTAGTGTTCTTAATTAGATTGTACTATGGAGTACAGCTTATGCTTATTGCGAGTCATTCCCATCATGACTATTAGAATCGAACATGTAGGCCTGAACACAAAATTAGCCGGAAACGACCGCGGTCAGAAACGTTGATTCCTCATATGCAATAAAACAAGGCATAGCTGCATGATCTATTGAATTTAAGCGTAGAAGATATGCATCGAACAGTTGATCGGCTCAAGAGTGGTTATCGTTGCGTGGAAATGCAGCTATGGGTAGTACACTGGTACACACTATGAGTCTCTGGCTCTACCGAATTCCAAGCCAATAAAGACTAATAGAGTTGCTCCACGGAGAAAGACGACGAACAGTTCGCAGCCGAGTACGAGGTCTGCAACAGCCTCATCAATGACATCAGGACTAGAATGCCACAATCTCATTGTGTCATTGTCCGGCTGAGATGATCAGGGAAAGGCTGCAATTGGACCAGCGCACGATCTCGCTGAATTGCAGCATGACCGTCGCTTTCTTGATGGATGGATCTCTTGCGCCCGGAGTCTAATCCTCGTATGGAAACAGGCAGCGGGATGATCGACACAGCCCCGTTGCATAGCTCGTATCTTATTTTCATTACCCTTTTAGGACTGGAGTGTCGGGCGCACCAGAGTGCTCGTATTCCTGGTGTATATAAGGAGAGGTGAGCATGTCCTGGTCACAGGCCCATGACTTACTTCACTTTGCAGTCTACTCCTCTGTATCACACTGGTCACTATGAAGAGTCTTTTACTGGCGATCTTCTTTGCTACAGCAGCAATTGCTGCTCCCGAGTCACGCCGCTGCCGATGTCAACCCCATCAGCCATGCTGGCCATCACCACAAGAGTGGAATGCCCTCAACCGCTCGATTGACGGCAACCTGGTCGCAGTGCAGCCTGTAGCTGCCCCTTGCCACATCAACCCCAACAGCACCGCCTGCCAGGAAGTCACGGCGCAATGGTCCAACTCCGTCTGGCGCGCTGCTCAGCCCGGTGCCCTGCAATGGGAGAACTGGGGAGCCTGGCCGGAACACAATGAGAGCTGTTTTATCGAGACTGCGCCATACGTGTGCATGCAGGGGCGTATCTCGCTCTACTCCGCTGTGGTGCAGAACGCGCGACACATCCAGGAGGCTGTCCGGTTCGCAAGGCGGCATAACATCCGTCTTGCGGTCAAGAACTCCGGTCATGACTTTCTTGGACGCTCGGCGGCTCCGAACTCTCTTCAAATCTTGACCAACCGGATGAAGGGACTGCAGACAGTAAATGATTTCGTGCCGAAGGGGCGCCGAGACACAAAGGCGAAGGTCCGGCTGTGACGCTGGGTGCTGGGATTAGTCTGCAGGAGATGTATGCTGCTCTTGGCAAGCAGAACAGAACGGTAGTGGGTGGCACTGCTCACACTGTTGGGCCGACCGGAGGGTATATCCAAGGAGGTGGCCATTCGCTCTTGAGCCCGTGGAAAGGAATGGCATCGGATAATGCCCTGGAGTTCAGTGTTGTCACTGCTTCGGTAAGTTGATGTATTTTTTTAGGGGTAGTGCATGGTTACTGACACGCTACAGGGAGATCTAGTCACTGCCAATGCCTACCAGAATTCGGACCTGTTCTGGGCGCTGCGAGGAGGCGGTGGAGGGACCTTTGGGATCGTCACCCAAGTCACCGTTCGTACATTCGAGGAAATCCCGCTCGTCGTTACCACGATGAACATCACCACGGCAGGCGGAGATCCCGCATTTTGGACCGCCGTGGCTGACTTCCATGCTGCTCTACCGGCCGTGACTGACGTCCGAGGAGGCGGATACTACTTCATGGTTCCCAATCTGCCGTGGGAGAATAATCAGACCCTCTCGGTATTGAGCTTTTATCTCTTCCATACCAATACGAGCAACACAACGGAGGTTGGCCAGATGTACGAACCGCTGATGAAAAAACTCAACGCGACCGCGGGCGTGTATACTCAATACATGACAATTCCCATGCCCAGTTTCCACGAGGCAATGTCAAAGCTCATGCTTGTCGGCGATTCCGACGCGACGGGATCAATCGCCTTACTCTTCTCCAGGCTGTTCTCGAAAGACCTCCTCACCTCCAAGGACGGGCCCGCCAGGCTCGCTTCTACCATGAGCAAATTCCGCTATACGCCTGGGGAAGCCGTGACCGGTATGGTGGTGGGAGGCGGCGCCGTGGCAGAGAATGCTGGCAAAGTCGACAGTGCACTCAACCCAGCTTGGAGAAAAGCGGTTGTGCATGTTGCCTACACCCGCAGCTGGAGCGCCAATGCCACTCTGGCAGAGCAGCAGGCCGTTCTCAAGAATGTTACGGATGTTGAGCTGCCACTGCTGCAAGGAGTCGAGGGTGCCGACAAGATGGGCGCGTATGTGAACGAGGCCTTTGCTTATGAACCCAATTTCCAAGAGTCCTTCTGGGGAGGGAATTACCGCCGTTTGTACAGGATCAAGCAGAGGTGGGATCCGGCTGGTCTTTTTATCGCGCGCAGGATGGTCGGCAGCGAGGACTGGGATGAGCAGGGGCTCTGTCGGGTTGCGAAGTGAGCTCCTTTCTGTCTTTAGAAGATCCACCGTGATGCGTTCTTCTGTCGTTCAGTTTGTTTGAGGATTGTGTAATTCGTTCAAGTGGTACATAATAGAGGTCTTAGCAGCGGGGTTCATGTTTGGCGTCAGTAGATGTTAAGAAGCTCTTTTGCGTTCTCGAGATTGTTATATGCAGTGCTGCGGTGTATTATGTCTAGTACTGCAGATCGACAATCCGCCTGGCATATACGGCGATTGTATACCACTGGTCACATGGAGATATCCACGGTGATGTCGTCTGCCGAGCATTCCAGTAGGGTGTACTCACGTAGCAATGCCACGATGCCAAGGTCGGCGGATTGCTGATTGGCGTCGACGATTTAAACATTCCGCCACCAACCAGCGATTTGCTGACGGCACAAATGATGGCTTCGATACTTCCCAATGAGGCCAATGGTGATGCAGTGGCGCATGGCCGTGGATAGTCCGCTGTCGAAATGCGGGGTTGATGTCTGTGCTTCGTGAAGAGTTGGAGGATGGATACATCAGCTGTTGATTTCAATATATCTCCAGATACTACTAAATAAAGACAGTGATGATGAGAAGAACAGGTGACAATGGTGTGATATATCCCAGAGTACAATATTATCACTCTGGGAATCGTGGAAACATCAATCCGGATCGCAACAAGAACAAGATGGACTGGGCCAGATCGTCGCATCAGGCCACGTCAAATGACCGCCAGACCAAGACCACCTCGAGCATTCCACAGCCTCTTCATCGACAATATAATTGGTCTTTCTTTCGTATTTGCTTTAATCCTGTTCTCATGATCCTAGACGTCGCCATATAAGAGCTGCCAGATGCCTCATCCTACTTGGAGACATTGCATCCCTTAATCTACTATACACACTATACTATACCATACAGTCACCTACCGTCCATTATATACAGACATCAATCATAATGACCATTCCATATCCCTTACTGGCACCAGACTGCTATGGGATGAGCATCCCCAGACAATCCTGGCAGGACAAAAACCCTCGACACCTGGACCGCGCTCATGTGGAAGCCGTGTTTCGCGAGATGAAGGCGCAAAAGCAGCAGCCAGTTTTTGATATACGGAAAGAAATGCCAAATCGCACGAGTTGGAGAGACAAACTCTCGCGAAAGTATGTCTTGCTCGCCTTGCTCCCTGGGCCGGACTAATTCATATGCAAAAGATTCGGCCGCGGATGACCCGATCTATATTTGGACTTGGATGATAAACAAGCGAGGCGTTGGATAGTTTGATGATACGACATGGATACTTGGTTAATTATAATGTATATACCATTTCACTATCGATGGATGTGATTCATTGTTGAATATGCTTTACTACTATATTCTGATATCCTCTTCCGTCAACGCCAATGTCATGGTAGACATGACACTCCTAAACCAATTGTTGAAACAAGTCTAAGGAGAGCACTGTACACTGCCTCAAACCTCAGAGCTGATACCCGCTTCCGCGAAAAAGGTGGGATCCTCTGCTTGGATCTCAACTCCAAAATCCACCTCCCTGACTCGATAACGGAACTCTCCATCACCAGTCTCAGGCATATACATCAATACTAGTCGGCATGACCAACAATTCCTGTCTTGAATGTGCGCTGTATACACGCGATGCCGATCTTCGGGAATCCGCTGCGCCAACGGCAGATGAGCCACCTCTGCTTCCTCGATCTGCACAATGATCCGCGCGAGAATCGCATACTGCTGCATACTCCACAGTCCTTCCTTCTGAGGGCAGCGGTACAGCAGGCGAATTGCCTTTCGCCGGAGCACCGGATTGCGACACTTCCTAGCCGTGTAGCCGAGCGAAGAGATGAGTCCGGTCTCCAAGGAAAAGACACTCAGCACAGCGTCTTTGTCCAGTGACGCATTGAGCTCGATCAGCTCCTCGGCGTAGGAAACAATAGCTCCGAAGTCATCGTCGAGCTGGTCGAATATGAGCTCGTCTCTGGACAGGGCGACCGAGACCAAAATCTGGTTGGTGCGGTGGTGGATGCGCAGCAGGACCGGTGCTCGAGGATCGGTCTTCTTCAGCCGTCGGCCACATCGCTTCATCAGACTTTCAAATGCGCTCAGCCATGCGGCAAGGTCTTGGAGGAGAGCCTGTTGCCGACGGACCTGCCAGGGCGACCCTCTCGTCTTCCGGTCAGTGCCCACGGCCTCCACGAAGCTCATCGTGCGGTTGCTCAGTATAACGAGTGAATCTCTGGCTTCTGAGATTTCTGCCCAGGATTCCCGTTTCTCCCCTGATTCCGCTGTATCTAGCTGGCTGAGATTGAGAGGAATCATCTTCCTACCTTGCGTGGAGAGCTGGGTATTCCAGCGGATCAGGACATAAGCCAGTTCTCGGGTAATCCCTTCCGACAGTAGTTTTCCATCTGTCTGATTTTCCCATCGCTGGAGAATTTTCAGTCCGGCTTGAATATGGTCTAGAGCCTTACTAATCTGTCCACTGAGAATCTCCAGGGAGACAAATAAACAGCAGCTGATCAGCGTCAGATGCGGTACCTGGTGCGTGGTCGGGGAGGACAGTTGTGCCACCAAATGTCGAATCGCCAAGTTGTACTGCTGAACAATAAAATATTCATTCTGGGGCGCAATTTTCCGCCCGGGATCACATTTGCCATTGGAGAGAACTATATGTAGATGTTGATGGAGAGCCCCCAGAGCGACGACTGCATGCCGGATCCCGGCCTCGGAGTGACTTAGTTGTGGCAGTATATACTGCCAGAGATCCGAATCGAAGAAGCCGGAGAGTGCGCGCGATGTCCGCCTGCAGAAGAACTCGATATACTGCCGTTCTTCTCGAGTCCCTGGACGCAAGACCAGGCGATGGTCACCGCTGGGTTTAGTCCAGGCATCGGGCACAGGGTCGACTAACGCTCTCTGCTGCGCCTGTGGGTTTGTCTGCTGGGGATCGTATCCATCACATTTGCGTCCTGTTTTGACGCACTGTAGACATTCTGGCTGTTGTTCGTCGCATTTGACATGCCGGATTCTGGCAGAATTAGTACGAGGTCAACGGAGGCGTAGTTTGAGTGTTTGACGGACTTGCAGGTGATGCAACCTCTTCGTGATTTGGTGTGCTTGGCTCGAGTATGCTTCATGTTCTGTACAGTATATTCAACGGCTGCAAGGTGGGGGTCTCAGAGATGTGATTATCAATCACGGAGATTCAATCACGGAGATTTGAAGCAATCCAGAGTGGCCACAGCCCCACTAGGGATTTAGTGCTTACTTTCAGCAACTTGAACACGGTCGCTTGGCCCAACCATTACCTACACAATAACAGATGTTGCAGACACAATTGAAGACACTATACTGCAATCTCGTGTCCTATCCAGCCTCGTCATGCATGCATCAACCTGCAACCAATCCATCCCCCTTGTTCGTCTCCTTGACCCTGCCTTTAACCGTCGGATCAGACCAAATCAAAAATTCCCTAACATGCTGCAAGCTAGAGTTTTATTACCAGATCCCGTCCCTCCTGCAAGGGCGTAATCGGTCTTCCATACTCCGCCATAGTCGCGAGCATTATCTCCGAGATATTCATACTCCTTTCTTCAAGCACTAACAGCGCAGTGAGCTATGGACCTTGCAACGAATTGAACAGAACCTGAAACGCGGTAAGGATCTGCTCCCGGCCATCCCCCCAAATACCTTCATCCTCCATCACCCCAGATCCTCACCCCTGGCTGCTCTCCCCATAAACTCCTTTGACGGAAACACCAAACCCACAAGAGGCTCAACAGGCTGCATACGAAGGCCCTGCAAAACCTGATACAGCTGCTGAGCGGCCTTGCCACCGCCATGTCCGCCGTAGCTGACAATCATCCCGGGCTTTCCCTTCCATTCGTTGTAGAGATAGTCAATGGCGTTCTTGATGCTAGCCGGATAACCCCAGTTATACTGCGGTGTGACGAAGATGAATCCCGCGTGCGAGGCAATCTCCTCGGACCATTTCCTGGTCAGCTCGTGCGTGTATCCATCTGACGAGGCGATGAGCGATGGGATGCCCGGTTCGTTGCACATGGGGAGATTCCAGGTAGCGAGGTCGATAAGACGCAGGTTGGCGGTCGGATATGCTTTCTGGATGGTATTCAGCACGAAATTGGTGATTTGCAGTCCTGCACGGGGAACCCGCTGGCTGCAGACGATAACTCCGATGCTTGGAGACGACATTTATTCGGTTTTCGGGTGATCGCTTGCTTGATCTGATTTTGATGCGGACATGGGCCAGGGCATTCGGCTTGCCTTTTAAGGCACCTACCTGCATCCTCACCCATCATCATCTTACTGAGGAACTGCTTATATATACCAGTTTATTATCGGACATAAACAGGAGTCTTCGGAATCGGGGATAACAAGCAAGTCGGAAGATGCGATCCGCTCGGTCCGTTCTTTGTCATCCTGCTTGGAAATCATAACTAGTTAATACTTTGTCTCGCGGACGTGCTGACTACGAGGCCAATATCTCATTACGACAAGCGCACCATCTTATTGACTTAAGTCTTGGACAATGGTGTGATTATGATTGATAGATTGCTTTGATTCTATAAGAACTCTATGCAACAAGCTATGCAGTGACCTCCGTCGAAGGAATGACAGTAGCAAACGCATCAGCGAGTTCACTCAGAACCACCGAAACAAGAGTCTCAGCGTTGGCCCCGGGAATATCTCGGTCACCCACGGCATCGCTGGCGATGACCACATCATAACCGCGCTCACTGGCCGCACGAGCCGTGGTCGACACACAGACATGCGCCATATATCCCACCAGGACAACCTTCTTTCCCACATCTCCCAGACCCTTGAGGTATTCATCGAGATCGGTCTGCGCAAAAGAACTCGGGAAGTGCTTGGCGATGACCTTCTCGCCGCCGCGCGGGGTCAACTCGTCGAATTCCTTGGCGAGGTCGGTGCCGGGGGTGAAGACGGGGGCGTCCTGGGGCACCTCGTGGACAATATGGACGATGTTCTTGCCGTCGCCGCCGGCGCGGTATTTCTCTAGGAGGGTTGCGATCGCCTTGCGTGTCTGGGAGACATTTGCGGTCTTGAGATGGCCGGTGGCGTATTCGTTCTGGGCGTCGATGATGACGAGGGTGGAATCTTTGGTCGAGGCGGTCGAGGGAGGGACCCCGATCATTTGACGGAAGGACTGTACGGAGGACATTTTTGGGTGTGAATTTGTAGGTGAAATTCGTACGAGGTAGGTATGTGATGATGGTTGTTTGCGACTTGCAAGGGGAAGAAGAGTGCGGGGAAGAGAGCTGTGATATTTATCTACGGAGTCTATCTGGATCGAAGAACCCGCCATACTTCGGGCAACCGGGGTCTAATCTGACAAATATTTTCGTGATTCATGTTAACTTAGCAGGTAGTAGCTTAATAATGAGAGCCATGGCCTCAATTGACGGCTGCTATAGCTTCCTCATTGGGATACATTATTCGCCAAGCCTTTCCGAGCCCATACCCGTCGTCTTGCCATTGACAGCGTGGACACTAGTTCGACTAGGCATTGGCCGTGCGTTGGTCCGGACTATAACACCGGTACCTGACCTCGGAAGGAGAATGCGGGCGTATTGTTCACCGGCTCCTCGCGTGGCTGATTTCCACATTCGTCTCAATCTGCGTTGTAGTCCAGATCTTCCCATTGGGCACCACAATCCGCTCTTCGCTTGTATTGCTGCCGTACCCTGTCCCTAGCTCTGTCGGCATAACCTCGGCATCCTTGGTTCTCAATGAGTTCATTGTCACACTGTCTTTGAACCGTGAGAATCCCCAGTGGGTTTGTTTGGGTCCTGTCAGTTTGGAGGATGCGTATTTGCGCCCGGAGGAATACTCGCCGATGAGTCCGGGCAGGAAGCGGGAGGCAATTGCCTTGAAGGAGGGGATGGAGGCGGCTAGGATACCCACGTTAGTCTCAATCACGGACCAGTACATGGCGCCACCGATGGCGTAGGTGAAATCGGCCGATTTGAGCATGGCGGGGATGTAGGTGATGCGAATGATCGAGGAGATGCAGGCACTAGGGGGGCGTGTCAGTGTGCAGAATCCCGGCTGCGAGCGAGATACTCACAAAAGTCCCAGGCAGAGGATGAAACCAAGGGCAAACTTCTGCTTGACCGGCATCTGTAGCTTGAGGAGGACCTTGATAGGGAGCGAGTAGGTGAGTAAATCAGTCAAGATGTTTAAGGCCGCGTTGGAGAGATAGAAGATATTGATCTCAACACACTGGCCCGGCAACGACGTGTTCCAGGCTTTCGGGATGGGTCGGCACTGAAAGGCTGCAACCATGACGAACACGGCGGCCTGGGTGCCGACGATGCCCATCATGATCAAGGACGTTCGCGTGAGCGTCTTGTCGCCGATGCGCGTGTAGAACCAGCAGACGGACGTTTTGATGAAGCCCAGACAGGCCAGATAGAACATCGCGCTGAGCCATATGACCTGCCATGGTCAGAGTTGCAATGAGTATTCTTTTCGATGATGCATACGAAAGAATAGGAGGGCAGGTTGCTCTTATCCACATCAGCAAGATGAGAGCCCAGTCCCTTTTTGACAGCTATTCAAGATCAGCCGCGCATTCTCATGAATAATGGATGCCGTACTGACAGACGATAGTTACACCGATAAACGCCCAGGAAAAAAGCTGTGTGTGTCAGTGCGGACGCGCAATTGACTAGTTTCTCGTTCCTTACGCATGCAAGCACAATCAAGTCTTGAAATCAGTCAGCCTCCTTTTCGCCAGCATTTCCCTAGACACGAACTTACAATCGTCTACGCCTACATGGTTCAGGACCACGACTCGAGCAAACATTCGCAGACAGATAACCACAAAAGTAACGGCCGCAAAGGCAATGGAGATGCCCACTACAACTGGCCCTTGAGAGTCAGATGCCATGTTGAATGGTCTGGAATGCAAAAGAGTGACAGGACGACGGAAGGATTAGGCTGAGAGGGATGGCTTGTTCTCATTTATTCCTCGCCCTCTTTGATCATCGTCTTGTAATCGCGAGGACCTGATCATAGCGCTGACTATGGAGTAAGAGCAGTGGAGACTGGAGATCAAACTTGATATGTCAAGTAACGAGCAGGGATTCTGCGTCCGTCGTTACGTCCTGTTGAAACTCCAGAGGCGTCAATTTAGGTTATTACCGGCTAATAACGCGCAGACTACAAGGATCTGGGTTTGCTTGAATGCCTGAAACTGATTTACCAAGCTTCTTCCCAAAGTAGCAAGACGGGACACCTGGAACAGAGGGGAATAACTCCATGTCTCAGTTGGTCCTTCTATGCTGAATTTACTGATTATTGAGAGGCCTGTTAGTAGCACTGGGTGTGATTCTATTGGGCAACATCAACAAAGGTTACTTGATTTGGGATACTTACCTGTTCCGTAGTTAAGAATGAGACGTCCGACGCGAAGGTGGGACTGTGCAGTAGTCTATTAGACTTGGTATTATTATCAACTGAATATGGCAGATAGTGGATTAGCGGACGGGCAAAGATTGGAATCGGTTCATTTTGCCATTGCCCTAAGGAGACGAGTTTGAGCTGACTGTCCCACAAGACGGCATCTAGCTGCGAACTGGTGATCAGTTTCATCTTCAGAGGTCCGGATAACATGGAGGATGCAGTCTACAGTACATATGATAGATGACCATGTAGGGGATACGGACCGAGAGAAAAAAAAATAAAAAAGTACGTAGATAATGAGATCGGCAGCTATGGCGTAGAGAGAAAGGATGCAGGAAAAAGCAACGCTGAAACACAAGTCAACTATTATTAGATGGATCATAGGGATGTCTACTTTGCTTCTTCTGGAGAAGAGCTGCACTTCGTCCCCTGGAGCCGACCATTGCAACGTATATAGATCGGTGTTCGCCAACAATTTTTTTTTTCTTTCTTTCGGATGCTCTCCGCTGTTCTGTGCATGTTCCAGGAATTATATCAGAGGTAATTATGCTTTGCGATTGCTGTTGATCGTCATCGATATTCTTTCGTTGTTGATTCTGGCTGACTGGAGTCGGAAATAGTTTCCACTGCAACACCAACCTGGACGTGTCCATCACACCCTCAAGGCATGAACAATACCATAGTAGATATCTACAGGAGAGAAAACGACATCTCTGTGCACTTCGTCGACTATCAGGACAAAAGTCCATAATTCTTACGAGTCAGGCCATGCTGACTGCTCGTCACTCCGCCTCGCTTCATAGGCGGAAATGCAAATAGACAAGAAGCTCCACATCCACCGCTGGGCATGAGATCGACACTGGACATCAACCTATCATGCTACACAATGACTCGCTCAATAATGGGAGAGGGGCCGAAATTGCCTATCTTCTAACGGTTGTCTCGTTCATCTCCCCCCATCGAGTTTAGACCGGGGATGTCATGGCGGAACTTGCCATTCGCTTGTCTCAGTTCTGGACCATCAACAACTGGGTCTGCAGATTCAGTGACTACAGTTGCAAGTCGAGAGTGACGATTCCTACTTTATACGGCGAGGACTTGGTCTGGTTAAATACACAAAGGTCCATCGAAGAGCAGGGATGTAATTGACTGCTCCAATGGCCGTCAGCTTCATCCGCTCCCATACATTAGTTAATGTACTATTGTCGCAGCGCGGCCAGGATCAACCCGGCTTCTGCACCTCTTACTCGCTGCATGAATTATCCAGCCTGCTGTCAGCTGCAACCGAGACTCAAGCAGTCGAGCTAATCGGCTGGATTGGAAAATAGCTTTGCATAATTCGTGTTCACTGATCCTATCTCGCATCGGTGCGTTGAGCGTTCATCCACCCCCTCTTCGTCAATAGTATGGGGAATCCACATGGCCTTTGCGCGGTCGCAATCAGAGCAAAGTGGCCTAGAGGTAAAGCTGGCCTCAAAAATCGATGGGAAGGCCATTGTTTCAGTGTCCTGCGAGCGCAGCTCTCTCTTGTCTTGAACCTATCCCACTCAACGAGTCACCACCATGGGTCTTGGGGAAGAGTTCCTCGCCCGAGTCACCCTGACCAGCGTGGTTCTGGGTCTTGTGGCGTATGTTTTGCTCAAATCGGCGTACCAGATTGTCTATTATCACTTTTTCCACCCCCTGTCGGTCTTCCCCGGGCCCTTCTGGGGAGGAGTGACCAGGCTTTGGATCGCATGGCACAATCTTCACGAGACTGAATTGCCAACCGTGTATGCCTTGACAAAGAAATACGGTACGGCACACCATCTTATTGCAAGGTTCTCGACAGCAGACGCTAATTGGTCCCTGAGTAGGCCCCGTTGTGCGAATAACTCCCACGCTCCTCCTGGTCAGCGACCCAACCAAGCTGCCGGACATCTACCATCGCAATGCGGACAAGACAGGACACTACATCACCGGAAGTTTTGGCGAAACTGAATCGCTGTTCAACATGCGATCGCATAAGACGCACGCAGCTTTTCGAAAGTATCTGGCGGGACCTGTAGGTTGAATGCCATGCGACCATCGACAACGAGGACCACCGCGTTGACACTCTGCAGTACAGCTTTACCAACGTGAAGAGGATGGAGCCCTTGATTGACATTCGCATTCAACACTGGATCGACAAGCTCAATGAGAAATTCGCTCAGACAGGGGAGATTTTTGATTTCTCATGGTGGGCCGTGTGAGCACCTGCCGACGAATTCACGAAAGATGCCTGGGACTAACTGCTCACATGTCTGCAGCTACATGGCGTACGACATAATCAGCGAGATCGGTTTCGGCGCCCCCTTTGGTTTCGTCGAGCAGGGTCAGGACGTCGGCGGGCTCATCCAGGGTTTCCACGACGGTCTGCCGGCATTCGGTTTCCTCGCTCGTCTGCACCCTTTCACCAGCTGGATGAAGACCACCTTCATGAAGAAGTACCTCGTTGCCACCCCCCAGGATGATTCCGGCATCGGCGTCCTCATGCGATTCCGCGATCGCCTAATTGACCAACGGTTCCGCGAGCTCGAAGAGAAGAAAGATATCGGTCGCATCGACCTCCTGCAGACCTTCATCGAAGCGCGCACGGAGGATGGGTCCCTGTTGGACATCGAATATCTGAAGGCCGAGGTGCTGCTGGTGCTGCTTGCGGGCGCCGATACGACTGGCACCGTCTTCCAGGCCCTGGTGCACTTCCTGCTTACCCATCCCGACGCATACCGTCGTATGATGGTGGAGATTGACGCGGTAACGGCCAAGGGATTGATCTCCGACCCTGTCCCGCAGTACGACGAAATCGTCGAGCACCTTCCTTATTATGTAGCGTGTGTTCGCGAGACACTGCGGCTAAATCCCCCTGCTCCGAACATCTTCCCCAGATATGTCTCGGAGCCTGGTATGGATCTGTATGGCAAGCTTGCGCCAGCGGGGACGGAGATTTCAGGCAACCCGTGGATCATGCAGCGAGACAAGAAGCTGTATGGGGAGGATGCAGAGGAGTTCAAGCCGGAGCGTTGGCTCGATGCCGAAAAGGCCAAGCTGTACAACAAGTATAGCTTCACATTTGGCTACGGGGCCCGGGTGTGTCTGGGGAGGGATATTGCCATGATGGAGCTGTATAAAGGGCCACTGCAGGTGAGTAGTTTGTATTCCCCATTACTCTTGTTTGACAACAATGCTGAGGGCTATAGTTCTTCCGCCGATACAATGTCAAGACAGTGAACGACAAACCACACGCTCGATTCGTGATCAAAGGAGGAGTTGGTTTCTATCGCGATGTATGGCTGACAATCGATCGTCGCCTGCCAGAGAAGGCATGACATGACACTACTACTGATCAGCGAAATTCGGTTGAACTTCATTCAAAGGCGTACCTGCGCTTACTTTGTATCTCATTACTCCAAACACTACAGAATGAACTCGCGACTTTACGGCGCTTATTTGCCTGGATACATATCGAATCTCTCTTCAAATGTGGCACTGCCAGGGAGTCAAGGCAGACTTGCAAACTTTTCCCTCTCTCTATTCGTCGTCTTCCTTGCCTTGTTGACAGATCAGATAATTACCATCCGATCGCGACAATCCACTATCCCTTGCTTCATGAAGGGTCTACGCGCTCTCAGATTAGGTTGAGATGTATCAAGAATCAACCTGTGATATTTATCTACCTTATTCTTTCATGCACTGGATGTTCACGCAGATAGTCTGCTTGATGTGCTTGTCTGCGCCTTGAGAATTCCCCTGGCTGATCGACATCCCATGGGCCATTTCTCGATCCTGCAGAGATGCGCATATGACCTGCCAGAACTCAAATTACGAAGTGAAGCAGGGACCAATCTGGTAGTTTTTGCTCCACTCCATCCCCAGCTAACAAAATGATATCTTGACTGACTGCTTCCCAACTTCAGCCAGCGATCATCGAACATCAGGCCACGAACATTGATAGTCAACTCACATTGCCAGTGATATGGACATCTCTGAAGCACGTTGAGTCCTGAGTCTGACAAATTCCTGTCTTCTGCGTTGCAGTGGGCCTTTGAGTTTTACGCGGAAAGGACCGGCGTGTCAGAAGCGGCCCGAAAGCGGTCCCATTCGTCCATTTCCACAGTCAAGGCCCAGAAGGATCAAACTAGCAGGATACTTAGCGTTGGATATCGCTGCTCCAAGGCGTCACTGGCGTTCTTCTGCTCATCCCCACTCGACCGGGATTTGGTCCAGAAAGGGAAGTCGTCCCCCTCTGCGTGTCCCATCTGGTCTGGAACGGATCATCTGGAGGGGTTGCAGAACCTCGGTCGTGTCCATGGAGGGGTGGCTAGGTGACAGGTCTCTTATCTATATGACGAGTTACATTTTGATGCTCCTCGTCCATCCGCTGTGGTATTGAAACCACAAATCCAAAAACATGGCAGCAACAAAGACCATCCAGGTGCCCCATCTGGGCGGCATCACCGCCGGTTATGCCCTGTCCAACGACCGTTACGACCCCGCCAAGCCGACATGCGTCCTGATCAACTCGATGTGTACGACTGTGTCCCTCTACCGCGACCAGTTCAGCGATGTCGCCCTCACAGACGCCATGAACCTACTGGCCATCGAGCCCCTGGGCCACGGCTCGACCAGCTGCCCGACGGAACACTTTACATACTGGGATTCGGCGTTGATGGCGCTGCAGGTGATGGATAAACTCGGCATTGACAAGGCCTTTGCTCTGGGAACCAGCCAGGGAGGATGGATCGTGACGCGCATGGCCTTGTTGGCTCCTGACCGGGTGGGAGCTCCCCTGCATACGTGAACTACCTATACTGTGAGGGGATAACTGTGAAAACTGATACATGTCTCCTGTCATCTAGATCCTCGGCCTGATGCCATTGGGCACATCGATGGATTACGAATCGGCCGACTCTCGATCGAAAGGGTGCTGGGATCCCGTTCCCGCACTCCGGCCCTTCTACGAGAATTGGACCAGCGCTGTCCCGACTCCGGATTTCCTGGTCGATGATGTCTGGTGTGGCATGGTCGGCGGCATTGGGTTCGGCGCCAGTGCTTCAGAGGAGTTGAGTATGTTCTGGACCAAGACCTTAAAGGAGGTCTACAAGGGAGACGAAGGCCGAAAGAAGGTCCGCATGGCGGTGATTTGCCTGCTATCGCGCGATGGACTGTTGCTGAGACTGGGTGATATCAAGTGCCCCGTGTACTGGTTACAGGTGAGTCCATCTCTATGTTATGGGGCTAATATCGTAGCATGCTGCTAAGGTTGACGCCGACAGGGCACCGAGGATACTCCATTCGGCAAAATAGTGCCAGCAGAACAGATCAAACTGTTCACCTCGTCCCCAGAGGCCAAACTGGTCATGATCGAGGGAGGAGCTCATTACCTAAATGCCACCAATCCAAAGGAGGTGAATGCTGCGCTATTGGACATGGTGAACAAGTATAAGTGATAGCCGTAAATAGGATTTCGATAGATGATAACCATGCATTTCTAATCTTCCACTTGCAGGATGTCCGGCACCAGATATGGATCTCAAGTTTCTCAATTGCCGAATATTGGCCCCCCCTAGCCACAGCACGACAGAGTTTGCAAACACGACGAGTGGAGTTACTATTACACTTGACTTCGTAAAAGACCATTGTGACGGTGGCTTGGAGATACCATTGTGAAGACTCACAGTCCGCGCACTCCACTTTCCCACGCTTTTGGCCCACTTCCAAACGCGAGGATCGACTATTCTGCAGCCATAACGGGCTAGGGTCGCCCAACGGCCAATTGAACTTCTTTGGACTGTCGAATGAGCGTCCTAAAAAAGAATGGTAGCTTCCCGCCAGTAAGGAGCCCCTCGCTAGTCTGGCCCTGGGATTTGTCGACGCCCTGATGGCGGCAAGCCAAAGGATTGTCCCAAATCTTGCGGAATCCGGAATCCAAAGTATCATTCCACCATAGTGAAAAATTTATAGGCACCGCATTTTACAAAAGGAGTATGGGCTAGAATCCTCCTGTCTGGCCATGGGCCTTGGCCGGAAAGGATTCAGGTACGAGAAGAGAGAGAGGTTATTCGAGGAATTCGGTTATAATGGCCCCTTGTTCTTCCTGCGGCAGTCGAATCATCATCCCACTGCAGTCTCTCTCATGTCGTGATCACTTAGAATGGCAGACCAAGAAGATTCGCTGCAACCATGGGTGACTGCGACCACCGCTTCGGTGACGGTGCTCGCCTTCGTCATGGTCTGTCTGCGGCTTCTGGCCCGATGGGAGAGGAAGCAACAGTTGTGGTGGGATGACTGGATGATTGTATTCTCCATGGTAGGCTTACCTTCCCTTGACAAGGTATCTAAACTAACATACATAGGGCTGGAACCTGGTCGTCGTCGGCTTCATCTTCGCCATGGTCAAAGAAGGCATGGGCCTGCATGCCGGCACCGCCGTCCCCATCTCCAACCAGGTCATGATCGCCAAGTTCCTCGTCGTGGCCGAGATTCTCTATGTATTCAATCTGGTCTGGACCAAACTCAGCATTCTGCTGATGTACTACCGTATCTTTCATTTCCCCTACTTCAAGCGCTGGGCGTACATCATCGGCGCCTTTGTCGTTCTTTGGGTCATCTGCATCACCTTTCTTTTTATTTTCATCTGTGTGCCTGTTCAGAAGCTGTGGTATCCCAATCTGCCCGGACGGTGTATCAACCAAGTTGGCACCTGGATCGCCAATGCCATATCAACCATCGTGACCGATCTGGCGATTCTCGTTCTGCCGATGCCGCAAGTCTGGAAACTGCAGCTGCGTCTCTCTGAGAAAATCGCTTTGACCGTTGCATTCAGTCTCGGATTCTTGTACGTTGCTCCATCACCGTTGAACTGATCAAACCCTGACCAATTTTTTTACAGCGTCGTTTTCGCCTCGGCCTACCGCTTCAGCGTCCTCTTCTCATACACCTCCGCCGACTCATCCTACACCCTCGCTCCAACCGTCGGCTGGACCGCCATCGAAATGTCCGCCGGCATCGTCTCCGCCTGTCTCCCCACCCTCCGACCCGCCCTCCAGGCCATCGTCCGCATCCTCGGCATCCAAGGCGCCTTGCCGGCCTTACTGCGCAGCCGAACAGCCCCCATGTCCAAGACCGGCCAGTCGAACCCGAGTCAGAACGAGTTGACGAAAGGTCACACGGGCAGCGGTGTCGGTCACTCAGCGCATAGCCGCCGTCATTCCTTCTACTATCTCCCGGATGAGGCGGATTCGGCGGGCGGACACCCCATGACGCCGGAGCAGTTGGATGCTTCCCTCCGGCCAGAGTATGACCACGGACATATGGTGACCAATGTATTGGGCTCAAAGGGGAGGAACGTCGATAGCGCGAGCGATGAGATTCCTCTGCAAGGAATCCGTGTACAAAAGGATTTTACGCAAGTCAAGGAGTGATCAGCATAAATATCACCATTGGTTTTTTTCTACCAGCAGATAGATCAACTCTTTGCTAGCTGGCATCAATAGATATTATCCTGCGGCAATCATGGCTTCTTTTGTTTTTCTTTTTTTTTTTTTTTTCCCCTGGCCTAGTCCATAGCAATGTAAAAAGTTAAATCTCTATTTTTGAGCCATACAGTGCAGATCCCATTTATGGCTTACTGCCACCTAAGCCAAACCAATCCATGTCCGTAAGCCCAGCACTGGTGCCTGGATTCCTCAGGTGTCAACCACCACTCAGATAGTATTGAATGACATGGGCAGCTGAAAGATAACTGGAGCTTGAATGAATCTATGGGAGAGCTCTCCAAGAATAAATTTGTTTCAACTAAAATAGGCATCGAAAGGCAGTGATGGGTTAAAGAGGTGAGACGAGATGCAAAGTCAGAGGATGATGAGACTGTCCAACATATATGTCAGGCTTGACAACACCATCGGGCTTCCCACTCTAGGTTCTTTAAAGGATTAACACAATACTAAGAAGTGCTCCCTTTTCCTAAGATTATCGGCTGTTTTAAATAAGCCAATAACCAATCCCTTCTCGCATTAGCATGCATATTAATGGGCAAAACAACATGGGCACGTGTCATATAATTCTCCCTCTAGCTCCCCTGCAGAGGCGGCTGTCCATGCTTAGTCCACCCTATGGAGAATGACCCTGGAAAAGAAGTTTGAAACTGCTGGAGTGACCTTCCGTCGGGAGTATCTAGTCCGGATAATCTTCCAATGAGGACCAACAGTGGATGCCCAATCTCCCTGGCGGCTGACCATCGCGGGCTTATGAAATGTTGAGCTTGTGTCAGCTGTCGGATTACACTACCGTCGTTTCAAAAAGACCACCACTAGAAAAGCAGCTTAAAAGCCTGGATGGTTGGAGCCCCTCATTTTAATACCCATCAAATCCACGCCGCCTCTCCTCAGCCGCACTTCACTCTGACCATACATTTTCCCTTAAAGGCCCTTCGCGCCCATCAGCATGGAGCGTGGGGTTCATAATTGGCACGCCGCGACTGTCAAGTCGCTGGTTTTAACATTACATAGTGTTCGGCAGACGACCGGACTCCAAACACAACGTTGATGATAATACTCACCTATGCAACATACTTGTTGGAAATTACGACATAGATCAAGTCCAGGAAAATGACCGTCAAAAACAATCAAATCCCCGCCATCTACGCGCGGGCGATCGAAAAGTACAAGGAAATCACTAAAGAGGATCTCGATGTCGCCTTCCTCTGCAAGCTCCAGAATGTCGATGACCTGGCCAAAGAGATCGATGAGCGTAACAAATCCTTCAGCGAGTACCGCCATAAACGCGGCGTCATCTTCGATGCCATGCAGGCGGCACTCATTCCAGTCCAGCTGTTCGGCGATATAGCGGCCGGAGGCGCGTCGATGGCCTTTCCTCCCAGCAGTCTTGTTTTTGGCGCAGTGACCTACCTCGTGACGGCTGCCAAAGGCGTGTCGAGCTCGTACGATGCGATTGAGGATCTGATGGGAACATTAAAGGTGGGCGGACTTCCTCCATTCGTCTTATTTTTGCTCCCTCCTTGAACCCATTTAATGTGTGCAGGATTTCACTATCCGATTAAAAGCCTACGGCCAGGAGCGAATTTCCGAAGATCTCAGCGACAAGCTGAGTGATATCCTCACCACGTTGGTGGAAATTTTCGCCCTTTCAACCAAGGCCATCAAGCGAGGTAGACTGCTCAAGTTCACTCGCAACATCCTCCTGGGCACCGACGACGCCATCAAAGAGGCAGTGGGTAAACTGGATAAGTTGACCAAAGTGGAAGCGAGCCTCGTTGGTGCGGAAACCCTGGTCGAGGCCAAACGGACGGGGCGCGTGGTGGACACAGTCCAAACCACTGTCACGTCGACGAATGTCACAGTGCAAGAGACGGGAAAGGCCGTCAATCAGATGACCGTGCAGGTCACCGAGGTACATGAAATGCTGGGCAACCTATTGATCGCGACGAACGGCAAGGATGCAAATCATGGGGACTCGGCAAAGTCACAGCGCGACCTTGTGAGGAAGATTCTGCAACCATCCGCAACAGACTCGGCACAGGATTGGTATGACAAGATCAGCAAAGCCCGCGTCCCTGGCACAGGAGATTGGGTTAAGCATGAAGATGTGTTCCAGGGCTGGTTGCACCGAGAGCTCCCCGTCATGTTTATCTCTGGTAATCCTGGAGCTGGCAAATCCTATCTTTCATCCAGCATTATCACCTTCCTCAAAGACCAATACCCGCAGGGGGTACAACATTCCTCACATGTCTCCATAGCGTACTTCTTCTTCAAGGATGACAACCCGACCACGAGGTCATTTCACCAGGCCCTGCGGGATCTCGCCTTACAGATCAGCAGCAATGATACGGCATATGAGAAGTACCTTGCAGCCATTGGAGATCATGGGAGCGTCAGCACTTTGGAAAGTGCGTGGCGGACCCTTTTTGTCAACTATTTCCTGAAGAAAGAATCGATCACGAGCAGTGTTTATCTCCTCTTCGATGCGGTCGATGAGGCCTTTGAGGAGGAAAGACTCCCCTTCTTGCAGCTTGCCAAGGACATTCTGGACTCCCCGAATCGCGGCCGTTTGCAGTTGGCCATGGTTGGACGGCCGCATATCAGCGACCAGCTGGCTGAAGCGCTCGAAACCAACGTCCCGACAATCTATGTGACAACACAAAAGAATTCCGCCGATATCGACCGATACATCAAAACTAGTATTCAGAAATCAGTGATCCTTCGACGCGTCTCCCCCGCATTACGAAAGGAAATCGTCGAAAAATTGTCAGTAGGTGCTGAGGGCATGTTTCTCTGGGTGAATTTGATGCTGCAGGAGCTGGTGAAGAAGCGTAATGAGTCCAGTATCCGTAAGAGCCTGGAGCAGGCGCCCAAGGGCTTAAGGGAAATGCTGCGCCATGTCCTCATGAGCTTCTCTGCCAGTCTGAACGACGACGAGCTGGAGTTTCTCAACGAGCTTTTGCTGTGGGCCACCTGTGCAGTTCGTCCACTGACCCTTGGCGAGGTGGAGGCAATCCTCGAGTTAAAGTCGGCCGAGGGGGATGGGATGATTTACCTCGAAGGTGCTCTTCGCAAGCAATTCGCTGCCTTCTTCAACCTCGACCGCGATGACGGTTTGACCACAACAGAGCTCCAGACCTTGGCAGACAGGGCATATGAGTCTGACGACGAACCTGTTACTAAAGAGGAGAGTGATGACCAGGAAGCGTTCGAAGACATCGAGAACATCATAGAGTTTGATTCGAACAAGGAGTCGACAACCGTCACCTTCAGCCACGCTTCCCTAGGAGATTTCTTCCGCAACACAAATGAGGGCAAGGTCTCTGCCGCGGAGGACAGACTGCCGGTTGGAGTTGTCTATAATGATGCCAAAGCCCATGTCCTCAAGACGTGCCTCAAGGTTCTCACCGATACTGAGTTTTCCCAGAAGCCTAAGGACCCCAGCGTCATGCTGAACTACGCCGCAAGTAATTGGGTGCAATACCTTCAATTAGTGCAGCCCTCAGAGACATCGCTCGAGGACAAGAAGACAATTGCCGGCATGCTGGCCAGTATGTTTGGTATGGAAGAGTACATGGCGAAATGGGTGCCACGGAGAAGCTGGGTCCCAACAACCGAGAATCTTAAAGCCATTCACGGTTGGTGGGATGATCCCAAGGTTGTAGAGTCGCTTGCAGACAAAGAGGCCAAATTCGTCCTTTCCGTCAAGGAGAAACCCGGCGAGACCTTCCGACCGATCGCTAAGTTCTACACTAGAGAATGGTTGGCTAATGACAAAGCCATCTGGCCAATTGACGAGGCGGCGGCTATGATTGCCAGCCTTCTCAAGTGTCAAAGAGGGATCAATGAGGATTTTCTTTCCTCTTTTGCACCGACTGTCGCGGAGGTCATTGAGGCCGCTGAATGGGCGCAGATCGAGAAGACATCCTGCTGGTACCAAAGGATCGCCGTCGTGTTGCGCCGGACCGGCCACCTAGACGAGGCTCTGGAGTATTACAGGAAGGCAACTGCCATAGATCCGAACAATTGGATTGCCAAAGCAGGCATGGCCGTTACGCACATGGAAAGACAAAAATGGGAAGCGGCTGTTGCGCTCGATAAGGAAGTAGAGGCATTTTTAGGAAAGCTGCTCATTGACGAGTCTGATCAGAAAGAATGGCTAACTGCACACCTGCACGCAACACTAGACCGCATGGCAACCTGCTATAAGGAGCTGGGTGAGGGGGAGAAGCAATACGTTGAGATCAAGAAAGCTCTCGCGGTTGTTCCCTTCTGCCGCGTCTGCACACATAAGATACTGCGTTTCCATAACGAAACGGGCCGATTTGAAGAGACCATCTCTCTTGTGAAAGAATTCACCGACGCAAAAGTTTCCGACAAAGAGTACAGTCGGCTAACCGAGTTCCTATGGAAAATGCCAACCGCGGATGAAGGGGTGATTGAGTACTTAGCTGACGCTGGCCAGGCCACGGGAAATCTCAAGCTCATAGTGCGTTCCTACCGCGATGCGGCCCGAGCGGCCCGAAAGTTGTCCATGACTGTTGTTGCGGCTCATTTGGACCTTTCGCTCGCGAGAATCTATTCCGAATACACGCGAGAGGAAGATAAGGCGACAAAGGGGTGGATGAGGATTCTTAACACATATGGATCGGCCAAGGAAGAAGGCCAGATTGGCTCAGCCAAGGTGACCGCCTCCTCCAAGCTGGCCCAACTTTGGTTGTGTCATGCCATCGATGCGGGCTTGGATTCTCCTGAGGCGGAGGAGTACGTGGGCCGGTTGGAGCAGCTGGTTTCACGGTACAGGACCGAGGACACGTCCGCTTTGTGGGTCGCGGCGCGGGCTCGGGCGATTTCTCTGGGTGTGTGGTACCGCTTGATCGGCCGACACGATGACGCGCGGGCTTTGCTCGCTCCATCCGTCAAACGGGCTATACAAATCTTATCCGATGATGACCCGGAGAACGATGACGCAGGATTGACAGATTTGCAAAATGCTTTGCTCGCTGCCGGTGATGCCAAGAATGTGATTGCGATTGCCTATGCTCTCGGACGATATGCGGATAAATACGAGCAGCAAATCATGGCCGGTGACTACGTCTACACCTGCGATGGACCATGCCGAAAGCTGTCTCGAACGATGGAGGGCATTTCGTTGTGCTCGATCTGCTTTAACACGGGCTTTTGCAAGGATTGCGTGGAGGTGCTGCGGACGGGGCCATGCCATTCCGAGTATGTAACGCAAAACATGTAAAGGATTTCGTATATATTCCGCCTCGACCACAGAAGGTGGAGGCCAACCGAGTTCTGGTGGAGGGACAGGTTTTGACCTATGCGGAATGGCTCGCTCAGTTGAAGAAGGAATGGAAGGTGTAGGTCGCCAGTAGCGGGGATTGACGGGAAGTGGCCAGCTTTGTCATGTTTCAATAGCGCCAATCCGTTAATGTATCGCCGCAAGTTGATTGATGTATCAGTAGGGAGGAGATGATGAGGACAATGGACTAACCTGAGGGTGAAAGGTGAGAGTGGAGAGACTGTCAAGAGATGCTTTCCCCAACACAAGAACAACATGTGATATGTGCTGGCCTGCCGGGATTATCAGGCACCAACCGCTATTATCATTTCAATAATGTATTTTCACTATACGTCCACCAGACTCGGACTGTCTATCGATGTTGCATCGATGTTGCATGGCAGGAGTGTGGCGACATCGTCATAGGATTTCAATATCATCAATTAAGATATATCGATATCCCAGAGTTGTGGTTAGAATACTAGAAAATAGGTGGTAACCCGAATACTATTTCAGTCAAGTAGATTGTATGTCCATTATCCGCAGTTCAACCCGCATGGTTTCAGTGGTGGTTCAACCCATATTCAAGCCTCGGCACACACACGTCCTGTCTTAGTTCCTCCCCCAGACAGGTTAAACCTGTGTTCTCATCCATCACTTCCACTGGTCGCATTTCATCGCGAGCATCCTTTTATACTAGATTTAATTCTTCAATCGACTCTTTTGTATTCATCTCAATTGGAGATATCCTAATTGACCATGTCTTCGCCAAGCAAAGGAGAAAACAGCATTCCCATCCTCCTGGCTTCGATGCGACCTACAGTACACCCGGAGACGTTTGTCTTTCTCACCACGACACAGCCAATCGAAAATCTTCCCCTTCAATCTCTGAAACCAGAGATGCTATTTCAAGAAGATGAGGGATTGAGCATCATCACCGCTAAAGATCTGGCCGAGTCAAATGGGTTCCTCGACTATACATTTCCATGCAAGAAAATCTCATTGTCGGTGCATTCCAGCCTGGAGGCCGTGGGTTTAATTGCTGTGATCTCGTCGAAGCTCGCTAGTCATGGAATCAGTACCAATGTGGTCAGCGGGTATTTCCACGATCACATCTTTGTGCCTCTAGGGAAGGAGGATGCTGCTTTGCAGGTGCTGCAGGACATGATGAAGACAGCAGAGTCAACAATACAGAAAACAACCATCTCTACTACATGATTCGTCAAATTTGATTCAATGAGCTGATATTATAACCTTCATCATGAGGCTCAATTTGGTCTCCGTACATTGAATGAGTGGTGATGGGGTCAAGGCTGAAAGGCGTCGATCTAGAACCGTTGCTGGGATCAGGCAGAAGAGAGGGGTTGACTCACAAGGCTGTCGAGCGAACACGTCAACCAGTGAACGACAGGGATGCACCAGTCCGAGTCATGCGGAGAGCGACAAGGCTGATTTCCAACAAGCACATTCACTGGTGCACGACTAGGGGACTGCTGCCTGGTAGCCGTCACTTAAGCATATGAGTGGCCATTTTCCTCCTCCAGGTCGTTCAACCGACTTGCAGAATCATCTATCTCTACCTTAGGCTTCCACTATGCGTTACGGACGTCGTTCTCGGCACATTCCTTCCGAAGACAGTGAGTCGGAGATAATGGAAGTCATCAACGACAACACCATTGCCGCCAGCAAGAAAGATACGGAAGACAATGCAGATGATACGGCCGAGACTGTCAAGTATGCTCCCCCAGGGACGATCTGCGAGGTTCACAACCTCTACCAGTCCAAACGCGATGACAATGGTCGCACTTCGTGGACCAAGAAGAAGCCCGATGATCTTCCTAGCACAGGTGAGAACTCGGAGTCGGCTCAGTATGCTCTCATTGTCCGCCATGTCAAATGCTACGATGGTCGCAAACCTCTTCAAATCCACTCCATTGTCGTGCAGAGCGAGCGGCTGAAAAAAGTCCTCGGAGAAGTCCTCGACGCCTATCCAGGCGTGACCATGACCTTGGAGCGAGTGGAATTCCGCAGCCCTTTCAAGCCTTTCGTTCATCGATGGGAGCGATTCGCGAGTGCGCGTGACCAGGAGCTAGACTCGGTGACCAAATCGCACGTGGAGCTTCTCTACACTATCCTCGAAGAGGAGCTACAGGATACGATTGCGCGTAAAAATGACCTTGTGCTCAACGGCGTCGTCACCCATGATCTTCTTTGGACCATCTTCGAGCCGGAGGATGAGATCTTCAGTATGGTTGGCGGTCGCCCCCGAGCCTTTCGATTCAAGTCAGGGGAGACAAATTGTCGGACGGGCGCATTTGATCTTGAAGCCCAATACATTGATTTCGACGGTGATGACTTTGGGTTCCGCGACAAGGACTTTGAAGTGGCACCGTTTAGTGGCACCATGCCCATCACGGCTCTGCCGGTGTTTCCCCTAAGACATCACAGTGACCAGCTTTCCGTTCGTGGCGCCTTGGTCGCTCGTGGAGCGGTCTGGGAGACTTACAAGGGGTATCATTTCAAGTATTACGAAGGCCTGGCGGTGGGTCGGTACATGAGAAGGGAATTCAGGTTCAACATCAAAAGCCGCATCATCATCGACGCGGAGGCGTTCAACACCTTCAACCCGGACGAGTCTGTTTCAGTGTATCCTACTTGTGGAAAGGAACTCACAGATGACGAGCGACTGCTGGCCGCTCCCACTTTGCGTGGATATTCGCTCAAAGAGAAACGGTGGCTGGAGTTCAATCTCGACAGCGTCAAGGAGATCGTGTGGGATTCACAGGCCTTCGATTCCCTGGTATTGCCGCAGGATCAACAGGATCTCAAGTCACTGATTCTGGCCTTTGCCAATGCGCAGTCAAAACAAGTGGATTCGTTTGACGATGTGGTCCAGGGCAAAGGACGAGGAATCATCATGCAACTGAGCGGGCCTCCGGGTGTGGGTAAGACACTCACTGCGGAGAGCGTTGCCGAAGTGATGAAGGTGCCGCTGTATGTGATGAGCGCGGGAGATCTGGGAACGTCGGCCTCGAGGGTAGAGGAGGCATTGAAAGATATCCTGCGGATGGTTCCCAAGTGGGGAGCGGTGCTTCTGCTCGATGAAGCAGACGTGTTCATGGAAGCTCGCAACTCAACGGACCTGTGGAGAAATGAGTTGGTGTCGATCTTTCTACGCATGCTGGAGTATTACGAGGTGAGTTTCTAGTCCGTTGTCAATACCAATAAGCTGACACCTACCATCCAGGGCATCCTCTTCCTCACTACTAACCGCGCTGGGAACATTGATCCAGCTTTTGAATCTCGCATTCACGTTTCCATCGTCTACCCAGATTTGGACATGACGTCCCGTCGCCATATCTGGCAGCAGTTCCTGACTCGTACCGCAGGGACAGAACAATTCTCTGATGAACAGCTGGAGACATTGGCCGGAGTGTCGTTGAACGGCAGACAGATCAAGAATGTGCTCAAAACAGCTCATTTGCTGGCATGGTCGCAAGAGAAGCCGCTTGCTTACGAGCATTTACAAACCGTGCTCAAGCTTAGGGATGCTACGTTGCCCACTGCGAATGGGGTTTGAGGGGGAATTTTCCAAAGACAGACATAGCATACTTGAATATCCATTTCAACATTCAAAAGACAGTAGATCGACTCTTCCGTAAGGTGCTGTATGTGCAAGGCTGCCTAAGGCAAGGCGGACTACCCCACTTTGTGCTACATAGACATTTCGCAGGTTGCATCGGCCAGGATAAGCTCTCTTTCTTGTCACAATTCATCGAACACATTACTGTGACATCGAGTCATGATGCAAAAGAGAAGCAAAGACATTCTTCCTAGCTTACTTGACGCACTCCCATCTGCGATAATCCCCGATGATGTCGACCTTGCATCCATTGCCAGTTCCTTTGCCGACAGCCTTGCCCGCTTGTCAGCATCCGATTTCGCCGAGGTCGCTGTCTGGCGAGATTGTTTCGCACTGACTGGGACTTTGAGAACGCTCTATTCTCCTCGGACAGTTTCGGAGGTCTATCGCAACCGGTGTTTGGCGCGACGAGCCCGATCGTTCTTCCTGCAAGCTGACGAAGCAAGTATTGTGCGTATTAGCTCATCGTGTAGCTGGATCAACGTTCCTTTCCGCTTCGAAACCAATGCTAGCCCTGCTGCATGTTGTTCTGGTGTGCTCTCCTTGATCCCATCGGGCGAAAATGGCGAGTACACTATCTGGATGTTGCAGACTTTGCTGGATCGATTTAGGGAGTATCCTAGTCTCGACAAGCTTGATACGACGACTCAGAGCCCCTCTGTGGGTGATTCCACGACTGACTTTGACTGTCTAATCGTAGGGGCTGGTCATTCCGGCCTCAATGTGGCCGGCCGACTGAAAGCACTAGGGGTGTCTTATCTCGTAATAGATAAGAATCCACGTGTGGGTGACGACTGGCGCCTTCGATATGACTCCGCAAAATGTGTGTTTTTCAGGTTCTTGTACGAGAAGGTGGCTTACTCAAAACAGTACACACGATCCGCGACTATTCCCATCTGCCTTTTGAACGAAACTTTGCCCATATCGACCATGAGTGGTTGACCAAGGATGATCTCGCGGAAGGGTTCGCATCATGGGCTGAGAAGTACAGGATAGTATGTTCATCGAAGGCATGGTCCCTGACTTCTTGCTAATCGACAAAGAATATATGGACCAGTAGTGATCTACAATCCGGTACGTGGGACGACTCGCGCACACAATGGACCTTGAAGGTCAGACAGACCATAGCGGGTTCCAAAATCATCAAGATCGTTACGTGCCGACATGTGGTGCTTGCCACTGGTGGACCGTGCAATAAGCCACACAAGCCTTTTTATCCTGGGGAAGAAAGATTCAAGGGAGTTGTCCAGCATTCGGTGAGCTATCGCAACGCATGGGACTGGAAAGGTCGACGAGGGGTCGTGGTTGGAACGGCCAACACTGGTGAGCAACCGAGAAAGCCATCACGGCATGTTGATGCTCACGTAGAATACAGCCCATGACATCGCCGAAGATATGCTTGACGCTGGATTGGCATCGGTGACTATGGTCCAACGCAGTCGGACATGTCAGTGAAATGTTCTTCCCTCTGGCCCGTTCGTTGTATTGACTTTATACAGATGTGCTTCCTCAGGAGTACCTGACCAAAGTCTGGAAACGTACTTGACGCCTCACTTCGGAAGCTTCGGGACATACTGACCCTTGATAGAAATTCTGAATGACCATACACCACTCGAGACTTCTGGACGCATACTCTTCGCGGGGCCTCTGGCAGTAAGCCGCCTTACCACCATGGCTGCCTTAAACACCCAAGCAGAGGCAGAGCCTGAGCGGTTCGCAGCACTGGAACGAGCTTGCTTCAGGACGGAACGCTACGGAGACATCATTTCGCTTCTCGGCGAGCGCTTCGGAGGTCATTACATAGATGTTGGCGCTTCCGCAAAGATCGCACAGGGCTTGGTGAGTCGCCTTTCTATGAAACGTCAGACGGCGCACTCATCGGCTCCAGATCAAGGTCAAGTCTGACAGCCGTGTCGTGTCGTACACTGAAGACGGTCTCATATTTGAGGATGGAACCCATCTGCCGGCCGACGTAGTTGTGTATGCCACCGGGTTTACAGGAAACCTCCGCGACTCGGTACGAGAATACTTTGGCGATGAGATCTACGCGCAGGTGGAGGAATATTGGGGCATTAACCAGGAAGGCGAGATCAAAGGCGCTTATGTACCCACCGGACGTATGTTGCTGGAAAGGTGCCTGCACTGGGTTCTGTCACTGGAACTGACTTCTGTGAACTACAGATCCGGGCCTGTGGTATGTGGGAGGAGGAATGGGCCAAGCTCGGTTTTTTGCACCCTTTGTGGCGCTGCAAATCCTGGCGCATCTGCTTGGAAATCCGTTGCCAGTATACTCTGAGACACCAGTCGTTGAGGGAGGTTGACTTGAGGGCAGGACGAATGGCATCCGAGATGTTTCCTGGCTGCGAAATTGACCAGATGTCAAGGGAGATATATATTGGCGGAATGGCAAACGTACTCCGTGCAGGCCTTCGCACTTTGTCTTCTTTTGTTCGCATTTTTATTTGATAAATTGAAATATATCGGGAGAGCTGGCTGAAGGAGTTCTACCAGATCTAGTGATATTGAGAAATCAAGCTTTCTTATTGATGGGAATGGCTCGAAAAATTGGACATGATGGAAACCTGAGGCATTGAGAGGCGGCAGTGACGCTAAGCCTTTCTGGGTGATGTATCCGAGGAATGACCAGTCCACCAATTGGAGCCTAGTAAGGCACGTGACATCAGAGATTGTTCTTGTTTCCCCGTGGCCAACTCGCGACGAGTACCCGCGGGTAGTTGATCTTAAGGAATCGATCTACAGTCTGGCGACAACTGGAAAGAAGACGAGAAAGATGAAGGCTGTTCATCTCGGCCAGCTGTCCGATTTCAAGCAGTCGCGCTATGTTATTCATCTCTCCGATGGCAAGCGTTTGGTGTTGTTCCGCTTGCCCACTATCGAGTCTTCCAAAGGCAGCAGCCCCGCGGCAAATGAAACCGAGGATGGCTGGTGCTATTATGCCATGGAGGCTGAATGCCCTCATGCTGGAGGGCCTATGGAAGACTCTCACGTTGATATCGAGGACTCCGCCTACGTTGCGTCGTGTCCGTGGCACGCGTACGACTTTAATGTCGAGACTGGGGAGTCAAGCGTGGGCATCAAAGCATGCACGTTTCCTGTGAAGATTGGTGACGGGGAGCTCACTGTACAGTATCCGGGCGATGCTTCTCTGGTGCGGCTCGACCCCGTCAGCGAGAAAATCAAGCTGAAGAAAGGCTCTGCCTCGGACCGTCCAGCCGTACAGCCCGTGTCGCAACAGGAGACACCGGCCAAGTACCTTGATGAGGACGCCACATTATGTGACTGGGCGGCTCATATCCTGAATACATCAAATCACGAACACAAAATCGAATTAACCGCCCACTTGTACGCTACATTCACCGAAAGAGAGAAGACCTCTTCGCCGATGCCTATCGGCTGTGGCTCGGTCACGCCTCCTGATCAACCGCCGCGAGACGGTTTGGTGACTGTGGAACCTCGATCGATGCCCCGTGCGGGAAAAGGTGGAACGCTGAAAAGCCGAATTGCCATGCTGCATGCTCTGGCCAACATTGAACTCTGGGCGATCGATCTCGCCATCGATATCTGTATCCGATTCGCAGCCTTCCAAACGCAGCCGCAAGCAGGAGACACGCCCCGGGGGCTCCCTCGAACGTATTTCCACGATTGGCTGAAGGTGGCCAACGATGAAGCCAAGCATTTCTCCCTTCTGCGCACACGCATGGAAGAGATGGGTTCTTACTTTGGTGCATTGCCCGTGCATCACGGTTTGTGGGATTCCGCAATGGCCACAGCCCATGATCTGCGAGCCCGAATTTCCGTTATTGCACTGGTACATGAGGCTCGCGGCCTCGACGTCAATCCCATGACGATCGACAAGTTTCGTCGAGCGGGGGACACAGAAAGTGTTGACGCGCTGGAGATCATTCACAACGACGAGATCACCCATGTAACGACGGGCCATCGCTGGTTGACCTGGATTTGTCAGCAAGAAGGCAAGGACCCAGTCCAGGTCTTCCGCACTAATGCACGGAAGCATTTTCGAGGGGCCTTGAAGGAACCGTTCAACCATGAGGCGAGGATGCAGGCCGGCCTGAATCGGCAATACTATGAGAATTTGATGGGACAGAGCGACATCGCTGTCAACTGAGAGGCCGATATCTCCATTCTAGGTTGTCTTATGCATCACCCTCCCGGCTGCGCACACCCTTGTCTATCTGAGCCGCACCGCGCCGGGGAGTTGTATGGATATTGAATGTGTCATTCACAGTCTGATTGCTCAATGAGCGACTGTTCCTCCAACGTGAAGGGCCTAGGTTCAATCCATCAGACCTTTGACGGTGAAATCCAAAGTCAAGCACCCCCACACATTGTGCATAATAGGGCCCTGCCGACATCTTTCGCTTCGTCACTCATTCCGGGGTTGAATAAGGATTGGCCGGCATTGATCCATTGTGTCTTACCGTGAACATAGGGCGGACAACCGTGCGGGAAGAACAGGGAGTAAGCTGTTTAGGATGGGGGCCTAGTGCCTACTATGCGAATGGGACCGGTCCAATATCACGCATGATTGTTCCCCAAATCGGAATACCTTGGAATATTATGCAAGCGCAAAGATCAGGTCTGGTACCACCTGTCTCACATCGCATGGCAGTTATGCAGAACATTACCAAATTATGCCCTCGATGAGACTAATATTCTGCGGAGAATCGTGACTCGGCGTATTTCTTTATTTTCTCACTTCCAAGAGGGGAAACTGGGTCTGTGGATGTCTGTCAAGAGAGAACACCCAATCATCGAAATGGCCGGATATCTAAGCGTCCGCTTACAGGAACGAGTGCGGAGTTGTCAGCGCTAACGTTGAAGAACGCGCCTTATCCTGTCATGATTTCAATTCTTGAGTCAGTCAGCTATCGCCGAGCCGGACTAGAGGTGGAACGGTACTGGGCAGGAAGCTTAGTCTATCTAGTTATTCTCGGATGCTTCGGTATCTCTGTTGTGGTTTCTCTAATTCATTTGGCCTCCAGGAGCAGTCACCCCTCCGAGATAATGCCCCTGAATCGTCAGAATCTGCTTTTTTCATAGAGAATAGAGTGACAGTCTCATTCACTGATGAGTAAGGTATGCTCCGAGTGATGGTTGTAGTGTTAATGATTTCCGCATTCTTTTCTTTTCTGGGGAACCAACTTATTATTTAATCATTGACCGTACCACGGTAGTATCAGCCGAGTCAGCTCATGATTCAGTGTATTAGATCTTTCCCGGCACGTCTGACGATTGATATTACATTCATCAATGGGCAAGGCAGTCGTAAGCTCCAAGCCACCGCCACTAAAAACGCTTGGTTCTAGCGGCCACGGTCAAGATAGTGCGTATTGTCTATTTATTATGATCGAATATTTCTGCTGAGTTACGCTCTCTGTGCTGGCGTCTACCATGCAAATGACTGCAAAGACCTCGTTTTTCGAGCATCTCACATAAGGCCCACTACGCTCTATCTGCATAATTCGTGCTCTCCGCAGCTCCCTTCAATTCAGGAGACTACCAAGCGTCATCTGAAGCCACGCAAGCCACAGTGGGAGGCCTAATGATGCCCGTACGAGACAAATAAGACAAGCTAATGTAGTAGTGCTGACCATGTCCGAGACGAAGTAACTAAATACTAGCAAAAAGTGATACTCCTTGTTAGCTACCTAGGTACCAGCTCGATGTCTTACCAAGATATTACTGTGACCTTGGATCCCAGCCAGATGATACCATCCCCGATCCGGTTCACTAGCCCATTCTCGCTGCCAGGAATTCATCGCAAGACCTTGACTCGCACCTAGGAGACACATGGTATTCGCTACTCGCATGACTCGGCATAGATCGTGCTCATCATAGAACCAGTCATGAACGTCGAACGGGAGCGTCATCTCGATCTCTGATGGACATTACTGGACTTCCAAAGCCGATGATACTCCGACCCCAGGATAACAATGCAACCCTAAAGCCGAATGCTACTGTCTACATCTCTAGCGTCTGGTCATATGGAGTACTAGTCATTTTATTTTGCAAGATGCAGGCCACCCGACTCCGGATGGATCCCATCGTGCCGAGATATACCCCAGACGGGGTCGAGGGAAGTAACTGACTTATTAATACCTGAAAGCCTCGCTCTCATGACTGCCACATTCCGTCGAGTTTCGTTTACGTCTTTGATTCCCACTCTGCATAGAGATTCGCATCAAGATGGCTGTCAGTCAATCAGTCGTTGGCCGCGCCAACGCAGAAAAGCCGCATGGTCTAGTGGGTATGCTGAAGAACCCCTACGTCTTCATGACCTGTGCCTTTGCCTCGCTGGGCTGTATCATGTATGGGTACGACCAGGGAGTCATGAGTCCCGTGCTGGTGATGGAGAATTTTGAGAATCATTTCCCCTACCTGATGGGCTCAACCATCCAGGGTTGGCTGGTTTCTGCTCTCGAATTGGGTGCTTGGGCGGGTGCTCTGCTCAACGGATACCTGGCAGATCGCATCTCCCGCAAGTATTCGATGATGGTCGCTGTGGTTATCTTCACGTTGGGGTCCGGATTGCAGGCTGGTGCGCAGACTCCCGCCTACTTCTTTGCTGGTCGTATCATCGGCGGTGTGGGAATTGGCATGTTCAGCCATGTACGTCTGTTTCGTCCCGGCAGCACCCTATTACTCGCTCACTGTGTGGCCATTCTTAGGTCATTCCCCTCTATCAAGCCGAGATTGCTCCTCCCGAACTGAGAGGATCGCTCGTATCACTGCAGCAACTCTCCATCACTATCGGAACATCCATTGCTTTCTGGCTGGACTATGGTTCGTCTACCCTTCTATTGCCGCCTTGCTATCCTGTCTGACAAGCCACTAATAGGCATGCAATACGTCGGCGGCACCACCTGCAATCCTGAAGGCATTGACAACCCCTACCTGCCCGATGGCTCCTACAACTCCGCTCAGAACCACGGACACACCTGTCTGGGCCAAAAGACCATCTCTTGGCGGCTGCCGCTGGCCTTGCAGATTATCTTTGCATGGATCCTCTTCTTTGGAATGTTCTTCTTCCCTTTCTCGCCTCGCTGGCTGATGGCCAAGCACCGCGAAGAAGAAGCTGTCGTTGCCCTCTCCAAATTGCGGAGACTGAGTCCGGCAGATCCCTTGCTCAGGGCAGAAATTCTCGAAATCAAGGCGGCTGTTCTCTTCGACGAGGAGTCCGACCAGGAGGCCATCCGCGTGGGAGGGAGACTGGCCCCGTGGAAGGCGCTTTTCGCTCCTAACATGTTCAAACGTCTTGTCCTCGGCTGCGGTAAGCTTCTATTCTGTCTTTGTAGGCGCTTTTCTCAACGATCCTTGTATATAGGAACAATGATCTGCCAGCAATTTACAGGTATCAATGCGGTCCTATACTATGCCCCTCAGATCTTTGCTTCGTTCGGCTTCTCCTCGACCAAGACGACTCTTCTGGCCACCGGAGTGACCGGTATTCTGCAAATCACCTTTACGCTACCGGCCATTCTCTTTCTAGACAAGTTTGGTCGCAAGACGTTCCTCATCGCCGGTGCAATCGGCATGTTCTGTTGCCACGTGGTTGTCGCTACTGTCGAAGGACTGTACCAAGATGAGTGGAATAAGAACATGGGTCTGGACAAGGCTCAGGGATGGGTTGCCATCGCCTTTATCTGGCTGTTCGCTGTGAACTTTGCCTACTCATGGGGTGCGCCTTCTTCCTTCCAGTGTGTTTGCTCCAAACACTGACCCTACTAGGCCCCGTCGCGTGGGTTCTCGCACAGGAGATCTTCCCCAACAGTATGCGCTCTCGGGGCGTGTCCATCGTCGCCTCGACCAACTGGATGTTCAACTTCATCATCGGTCTGACGACTAAGGATATGCTCAAGTCGATGAAGTACGGCACATACATCTTCTTTGCTATCTTCAGCGCTCTGGGTGGTCTGTTCATCTGGAGATTTGCTCCGGAGACTAAGGACAAGACTTTGGAAGAGCTCGATGTCTACTTTGGAGGTGCAGAGGATAGCATTGCTGAGTCGGATCGGCTTCGGATGCTGCGTATCAATGAGCGCCTGGGGCTGGCGGGAGTGGAAAAGGTGGGGATTTGGCTGACGAGAAGATGCCTGTTCATGATGAGGTTAGGGAAATGTAGATGTTGGGGTCAGCGTGAAGAGCAGAGCCGGTGACGTGGTGCATGTTTGTGGTTGTTCTACAGATCGTGGGAGTTCAGATCACTAGTCTATTCTGTGGGGACAGTTGCATTTAATTCTTCAATCATCTCGCCCTACGACTTGTTCAAAGATATGATCAGCTTGTCTACTTCCCGCTGCAAATTTCATGGCCGAGTACTTTGCTTATAGAGGAGCTGCAATGTGTATGGAGTGCTCGCAAATCCAGATATGTATATTGACACCCTTCAATTCTTTTCGCTCCTCAACATCCAGCTCATCGATACTTCTCGCCGATAGTCATGCAGCTGTCAGACACGCGTTCAGGAAGAGAATTTAGCCAGAGAATATAAGTGCTCGGCGTTTAAGCCTGCATATGGTGATAATCTCCGGGTTGGCCACGGGTTGTGGGACTGTGGGATGGACTGTGGGGATGGCGTTCTTCCATTGCGGACTATGGCAAAGTCTCCGAAGCTCTTCAGGAGCAAGGAATGCTACTTGTCCAGAGAAGGTGATGATCATCCTGCTATAGGGGGCTAACCAAGCTACCCCACAAATTAATATCGGTGAAGATCCTGGGGAAACTGTTGTATGATGGCCCTTGACCCGGAGAAAAGGGACAAGAGGACAAGTGGGAATTGTTGCTATAAAGAGGAGAAGCATTTCCTTGTCAATCTCCCTGTACTCATCCCGAATCATCCCTATCTACTGCAAGCGGTTAAGAAATACCAATGCGCCCTTCTACCTGGGCCCCTTTCACCGTGGGCCTTGCTGCTGTGGCCCATGCAGCGAGTCCCTCAACGCTCGAGGAGCTCTGCACCGTCTCTTATGCTCAGAGAGCATTGCCGCCCTCCGAGTTCATCCAGGGCATCACAATAGATTTAGAATCTGTTACAGCCAGCGTGGTGACCAAGAGCACGGTCAGCAGCAATGACTATCCTGCAGCGACCATCGATTACTGCAATGTCACCCTGGCCTACTCGCACGATGGCATCGACGGCGACCGAGTCCTACTCCAAATCTGGCTACCAGCTCCTACCAACTTCCAGAACCGATGGTTGTCTACCGGAGGCGGTGGTTATGCCATCAATTCCGGGAGCCGCATGTTGCCCGAGGGTATCATCTACGGCGCGGCGTCTGGACTGACGGACGGTGGGTTTGGGGGCTTCTCGGTCAACGCGGATAGTGCCATGCTGCTGGCTAACGGCACACTGAACTATGAGGCGCTGTACATGTTCGGATACAAGGCTCACCGGGAGCTTAGCTTGATTGGCAAGGCCTTCACGCGCAATGTCTACGGCATGACCGACAGCGAGAAGCTGTACGCCTACTACCATGGATGCTCCGAGGGTGGCCGCGAGGGTTGGAGCCAAGTGCAGCGCTACGGAGATGAATGGGATGGGGCCATTATTGGGGCTCCAGCGTTTCGCTGGTCGTTTCAGCAGACTCAGCATCTCTTCTCGAATATCGTTGAAAAGACTCTCGGCTACTATCCCCCACCCTGCGAGCTGGAGAAGATTGTGAATGAGACTATCGTCGCATGTGATCCCTTGGACGGCAGGTCCGATGGTGTAGTGGCAAGGACCGATCTTTGCTTGCTGCGTTTCGATCCAAAAGCTATCATTGGCAAGAAGTACTCCTGCGCTGCTTCTGCCACCGCACCGGCACAGAGTGGCACTGTTTCGGCCAAGGCAGTCGAGGTGGCCAAAACCATCATCAACGGACTGCATGACTCCCAGGGTCGTCGTGTGTACTTCTCTTATCAGCCCAGTGCCGCGTTTGATGATGCTCAGACGCAGTACAATGCCACCACTGGCAAATGGGAGCTGGCTATCAACCAACTTGGGGGCGAGCATATTGCACTGCTGGTGAACAAAAACGGTACCACTTTGGACAGCCTGGACGGCGTCACCTACGACACGTTAAAAGACTGGGTGATCTCGGGCATGCAGGAGTACTACAGCACCCTGCAGACTACCTGGCCTGATCTAACACCCTTCCACCAGGCTGGCGGCAAGGTAATACACTACCATGGTGACGCTGACTTCAGCATCCCCACTGCCTCGTCGATCCGCTACTGGGAGTCGGTTCGGAGCACCATGTACGGCAACCTGTCGTACAAAGCTGGTGCCAATGCTCTGAATGAATGGTACCGCTTGTACACTGTGCCAGGTGCCGGCCACTGCTCGACCAACGATGCCATGCCCAATGGTCCGTGGCCCCAGACCACCCTCGCTACCATGATTGAATGGGTCGAAAAGGGAGTGACCCCGGTGACTCTGAACGCGACAGTGCTCCAGGGTGATTATGAAGGCGAGAACCAGCAGCTGTGTGCGTGGCCGTTGCGCCCTCTATGGAAGAACAACGGGGAGACCCTGGACTGTGTCTATCACCAGGCGTCCATCGACAGCTGGCACTATGACTTGGATGCAGTTCCCATGCCTGTATATTAGCGTTCCCCATGGACACTTCCTGTGTATATGACGACGAGTGGTAGCTTCGAATATCAATTGCCATTCATGTTCTATAGTCTACTGCCGTGAGAACTCCGAGAAGTAGTTGTCTAAGCCTGCCATCTCGTCTAGACTTCCTATCCAGCCCACATGTTGATCTGGCCGACACAGAACCAAGCAACCTAGGTCCCTGTCGATGCCGTAGCCGGCGTACGCCTTGCCTGAGTTTGGATCATATGCATCATCATCTGCAAACGTCTTCCAGTAGTCCCACCCCAACTCGTCATCAAATGGATGAAAGATATCCGGGAGATCCAGGAGGTTAATGCTCGTCCTCGGACTCGCATGGACCAGGAGGGTTTCAAGTGGAGGATCGCGCCTACATGAGTCCTGAGTCTGGTGTCGATGTGCCAAGTGAGAACGTTGACTGAAGCTCTCAGCAAACGAAGTCAGTCGTTCCCACACATCTGGCCGTCGCAAGTCACCAGAGAAAACAATCAGCCGCCAGCAGCCGTTGCTCGACAGGACGTTCAATAGGGGAATGGTTGATCCATCGGCTTGGTTGACCACGGGGAACGACGGGATACGCATACCGACTGCAATATTCTTCGCCAGCGCTCCGTCTCCGCTCTTCTCGTTGCTGGCAACCAGCATGTTTGGAGCATATGTGATTTTCACACCAGCCATAAAACCAGAATACTCGTCTCGCACCTGATCGACTCCCTCCGCGTCCTTGGCCTCTTGCTCATATGCATGCACCAGGACGGAGTCCATCTTCATGAGTTCTTCGGCGACTGGCCGTCGTTCTGACTCGTATGTGTCTAGAATGATGGGGTCTGCCACTCCAGTGATGACTGACCCGAGCTTCCAGACGAGATTGTACGTATCTTGCATCGACACATTCATGCCTTGACCCGCTTTGGGAGAGTGGGTGTGAGCGGCATCACCCGCAAGGAAAATTCTACGTTTATCAGCAGGCTGACTGACAGTGGCGGAAGATTTCCTTACCGGTCCTTGATCCTGTATTCCTTGACCAGTCGTTGTCCAACCTTCGAATGTCAGTGTCTATCGTGGTGATGGGTGATGTGTGGCATACCGGGTATATCGACCACCAGTCGCAATGCTTGTAGGATAGCTTGTATGGACTGATCCACCTTTCTGCGGCCTTAATGAGTGCTCTGGGCGTGTCCTCTGAGTGGTCCTGTGCCATTTTTTCGAGCTCTTTATCGCCCTTGACCTGGATGTAGAATCGGACCAGGCGATTTTCGCGCGGCGCTGTCATGATGCTGCCGTGACCAGGGCACTGAATTGCGCAGGACTGGCGAATGTCGGCTACAGTTGTCAATAGGGAAACATTCTTCTAGGTGGGTGAGGGTGCTTACGAAAATTGGTGATAGGGACGATGTCTATGACGCCCCAGGTAGAATGCTCCGAATGGCTTTCCATAGGGACGTCGAGCTGAGTTCTGGTACGACTTTGGGCGCCATCACACGCAATCACATAACGAGCGTGTATTGTCTCTGTCTGTTGGGTTTTATTGTTCTTGCTGGTGGTTTTTGTGACCTCCACTGCCACCGGAAACTCGTCGTCGCCTTCGCTATTTCCACGACTGACAGTCAACATTTCTGCCTTAGTGTTCCACTCCACGGATATGCGATTCTTTTTTGAGAGATAATCAAGCAGTATCTGTTCGATTCCGCCCTGGTTGAACAGCATCTGGCCATACTGGGAAAGACTGTCCGATTGTGAACGCCGCCGTTTCCGGCGCTCAACTTGCCCGGTGTCTTTATTCGGGCCCTGTAAGGCGTCAGGTTCGTCCACAGAGACTCTCCTCGAGTGTTCCATACCCAATAGCACATCTCCACATCAGGGACACCCTGTCGGATGATGGGATCAACCAGGCCGAAGCTGTTAAAGATCTCTAATGTGCGACTATGGATTCCATCTGCATGACCGGTGGTCGTTCGGCCGCTCTTCTGATCGATGATGCGTGTGGACATGTTGTAATGCGAGGCCCAGCAGGCGGCCATCAGACCTGCCGGGCCAGCGCCGATAATTAACAGATCTGTACTCTGTGAAGGCATTTACACGGAAGCAGAAAAATGCATACAGGGAGTCAGACTGTACAATTATGCAGAAACATATTTTGAATTATTATTAATCCTTGTTTACGGGGGGATTGGGAGTTTCTTTGGTTCTTATTAACTAGTTATACCTCGCTCAACTGACGTCATCATGAAACATCTACTCAACCGAGCGAAGAACTAATCGGCTTCAGGAACAGCAGATCTGCACGAAATCAGGGAATCAGGTACCCAGAAATCAAGGAATCTAGGATAATTGCCACACTCACTGTAATCTGTGTCTGAGGCCCAACAATCCTCCTCCTGGAGTGCCGCCTTCCGACACAACGTATCTCGATCTTCCGCATCGTACTTATGGCTCTTCACCGCGAGTAATTTCTTCCCCGATGAGATGATGTTTCCTGCGAGATCCACATTACTGCGAGGGAAGTAATATTGGTTATGACTTCCATTCTCTGCATCCCAGATGCCCTTGACATCCCACCGGTCGAGATCGAAAACTTCGTGGCCCATGATCTCATTGGCCCGCACTAACCCATTCTTGATAAATCTGCGATTGATACCATCTGGGTCATTGTACGCGGATAGGACTCGTGCTTCCTGCTTACAGCCGTCTAGTCCGACCAGGAAAGATGGTTTGTTGTCGGCGCATCCCGAACAAAAGCTGGACAGAAAGGCAGGTGTCTCCGCTCGCTGCAAGCTTCCGAGGGTAGATCCAAGCGACAGCACAGTCTTTGGACGGGACTTGATTTCGGGTCGTTCAAGCCATTCGCGCCCATCGTCGTAGGTTCCGAGGAGACCGAAACAGCGCACATGTCGGAACCGTCCCGGGGGCACCAAACGGAGCGTCCGTTGGAGTTCGGGATAAGAGAGGTCCAGAGCGAAGTAATCCACCTCGCGACCTAGTTCGTCAAGGGCGTCGAGTAAGATTCGGATCTTGCGGAGATTACTAGAGCTAGTGTCAGGATGCATCTCTAGGATATTCGAACAGTATCATGCTGACCCACTGCCTAGTTCAACCAGCATACTCCCAGACGGGATATGCTCTGCGATCTGATACTTGTGTCTCTCCAGTAGCGCAATTTCCTCGTTGGTTAAGTAGTATGATGGAGTGTAAGTGACCTCTTCAAAGTACCGTAGTCCCTGCTCGTCCCAGAGCAGGAGATCGGGCAGCGCAGCCTCTCCATCCTCATGGCAAGCAGTACGGATGTTTCGTTCCAGGGATTCTTTAAGTTGGACATCTTCCTTGTCGGACCGGATATCGAGGACGTTGTTTGCAGCAGGAAAATTCGCAATGGGTTGGACCCAGCTTTGTTTGACATGCAGTCGAGGAGTGACGACGTTTTCAAACATGCTCATGCAATATGTACGCAGTAAATCTTTTTTATGCAGAGGTATAATCGGCAAAACCTTATAGATCAAGGAAGCACGAGGGGTCTCCAGTATTTATTTTCTAACACACTGATCGACAATACAATTGACCCATTGCATGCTTATCTAGCAGACTCATATGAAAGATACATGACGTATGGATGGGGGTATGTCATCGTCACTGACAACCACTTTATCTCCTTTCGTAAGGAACAGAAATATTTCCGAGCATATGATACGTGGATCTGTCTTAAGTGACTCCATGCAAGGTACAACGTCCATAGGCTTGAAACTTAACTTGTTTAATGGTTCGGCTGGATAAAGTAGTATGATCACTGCGACATAGGTATTTCTGTTAGTTAGGCTAAGCGACTGTTATCTTGTTCGGAATTCGGTAAACAACGGAATGCTATGTGCTTAACGTACACAACTAACTAGACCTCTTTCGGATTGTGATTGCTTTCTGCAAGTAGCTAAAATTGGTCTGGTGTATCGCGTTTCCTCGAGTGGTCCCCCAGCCCGGAGGAGTCTGCGGCCCAACCCGGCTTCTTACCATGGGCTGGCTACTAAAGGATTCCGCAGAAAGTGACAGAACATCTGGCGGCCCTCTCGCTGTTATTACACATTGTTAATAAAAGGTCTTGTTTAGTAGTAGACTCCCTTCCAAAAATCCACAATGTCTGGACCCGTGATGCCTGTCAGGCTGACCCCACGGCGACGGTTCTTCAAGTGCAGAGGATTTGTATACCTGAAACACAGGCACGTAGCCACCAAAGCTTCTTACTCGCGGTCAATGGAAACAGGCAAATATGATTTGATCCTCTCACTGGCCGACCAGGGTTGTTTTCTCATTAAGGCTAAACACTCGCGAGCAAGACGAACTGTCTCCTGTCTGCTTGCGCACTAGCCTTCTGTAAACTGCAGTGCCGGATCGGCGGGCCGAACATTGGAATTCAAATACGCTATCAGGATTTGTGCCCTGAGACTGACCTGGAAACATAAATTTCTGCCTGTTGCCGTGTGCTCCTTCTCACAACAATATCTTATTACTTGGATTCAACCATGAAGGTAGAGACAGTACTCGCATGCCTACGGCTTGTCACCTCGGCTTCAGCTTATCTGGCCACAACTACAGTATGGTTTGCTTCATCCTATTACAGACCATGACTAACCAGAGAGACAGCGATACTATGACGGGCAAGAAGGAGCTTGTGGCTGTGGAACATCATCTGGTGCATTTCCTTGGCAGGTAAAGGGCAACACCGATCTGTTTGACAAATTGCGCTGACATTTAATCTGTAGCTCGGCATCGGTAACGGTGTCTACACGGCCGCCGGCTCGCAGGCCCTCTTCGATACTGCTGGCGCCTCATGGTGCGGTGCAGGGTGCGGCAAGTGCTATAACTTGACATCAACGGGCAATCCTCCCTGCAGCGGCTGTGGCACCGGAGGGGCCGCTGGGAAGAGCATCATTGTCATGGTCACCAATCTCTGCCCTTATAATGGCAACCAGCAATGGTGTCCTCAGGTTGGCGCCACCAACAGCTACGGATACAGCTACCACTTTGATATCATGGCCCAGAGTGAAGTTTTTGGCGACAATGTGGTAGTCAACTTTGAGCCGGTGACTTGTCCTGGTCAGGCCACCTCCGATTGGGAGACCTGTGTCTGCTACGGCAAGACAGCGACCGATGAGACTCCAGTGGGCATGACTCCAGGAGGCAGCAATCCTTCTCCTCCGACGTCGACCACCTCTACCAAGACAACCACCACGACCACCACTGCTGGAGCCACTCAGACCCTGTATGGACAGTGTGGTGGCAGCGGCTGGACTGGCCCTACTGCCTGTGCTTCGGGCGCCACGTGTAAGGTGTTGAATTCTTATTACTCCCAGTGTCTCTCGTAGGAATAATGATTGGAATATCCTGCTGATATTCCCCTTGGAATTTGCTGGGTGGTTATTGCATGGGACTCGTGTTTTCGGTTGGTTGGCTTTCAGATTACCGATTGGTCTCAGTGGAATTGGATTGTAAGCGAGAAATGGACACGGACTAGACCGGCATCCCGTTCTCTTCCACTGGTAGGATGGTCACCACGGAACAGTAATATGCATAAGCATTAGTAGCCAGGCATCATCTTCTAACCGTCTTGGCGATGGATCGACGTGCGGGAGGAGTATACGAGCGAATGATGCATAAGACTGGAGACAATAGAAAGCCAATCATCAAGCCATTCCAGCACGTGTGCCTAACGAACCAATCACATTATCACAGCCCCCAATTCCCCTTTAGTAGATACACTCTCTCTGTCAATCCACCATGACCAACCGTTTCTTGAGCTGTCGACGCGGATTTGGACTAGAATGAGTACGACGAGGTTACATCGCATCTGTAAGATGGAGACTCCTAGCAGGTATAAATACGGACCGATTTGACCCAAATCTCCTCACCCGCTTCTGTCATTCAACCTCATTCATCGTCATCGCAATGCATGCCGAAACCATTCTGGCCTTGGGCCTCATCGTCGTTGTCTCAGCAGCCAAGCCTAGCGTCTACCTCATCCGCCATGGTGAGAAGCGCAGCGATGGAGGTAATGGATTAAGCGCTCAGGGGCTTGAGCGCGCACAATGCCTTCGCAATGTTTTTGGTAGCATTTCACGCTACAACATTGGATATATCATGGCTCAGACGCCCAAGAGTGGTATAATGATTGAGCCTTTCCGAAAGAAGCTTCAGTTAACCTATCGATCCAGATGGCAAACGCGCTCGTCCGTACGAGACCGTAGAGCCTCTCGCGGAAGACCTGGGACTGACTGTGGACACATCCTGTGATCGGGATGATCCCAAGTGTGTCAGAGATGTGGTTGAGGGTTACACCGGGTCGGGCAATATTCTGATTTGCTGGGAACACGACGCCTTGACGGACATCGTCGACAAGTTGGGTGGTGATGATGCCCCATCGTATCCTGATGACCGGTCAGTTTTCCTTGAAGACAAATTAACAATTCAATGGCTGAACAATCTCAGGTTCGACGTGATTGGACCGATCCCTATCCCTACTCCGAGATCACGGCACAGACCAGCGAGCAATGTCCAGGCTTGGATGGTTAGAGTGGTTCGGCCAATCTGCTCTGACTTCATAGAATTAGCTCTAGAGATTAATACAGTTATATAGATATATACATCCCTCTTGTTGGATTTATATAGCTGCATTTGTGTCTGCAGTGAATTTTGAATATAGAGCTCGAGGAATGGATAAGTAAACTACCAGGTAATACAGTGGTGAGAACAACTCAGTAGCTGGCAGGATGCATCATTGTGACATAGCCAGAAGCGCTCCATTTGTTGTAGCCCTGGATCCAGATTCTTCATCTGCTGAAAATAAGGCCGATTTGCTAGCCCGATGCTGGGACCAATTATCCCCATCTCCCATGAGTCGCCATCATTGTATTGCGCAACTTGTAGTGGAGAGACCCGCCTAGAAAGCTTAGTCCGTCTGCTAAGACTCAACAGTATCAGAATAATCAGACAGCATGACACAATGATTGCCATACGAAGGCCTGTCCTGATTCACACCTCCATAACCTGACAGATTGGTCTATATAAACCATTATCCAGCCCTTTCCCTCTCCCCCTTTTGTTCGATATCTCCGTCACCGCAACCTTCTGAACCGGTATTTCCACTTCTTCGTTTCTAATCCCCCTAAGTCTCACATCATGGGATGGTTCGGTAGTGCTCCTATCTATCTCTATTCTATGCTGTTATCGCTCTTGACTAACCTTGTATATTATCCTAGGCGACGATAGTGACCAGGCTCAGGCCGACAGCCAATACCAATCATTCGCTGACAGCAACGAACGCCAAGGACAAAATAAGTCATGAGCTGATTGCGGCTGCCGTCTCCTACGAGGCTGCTAGTCTCTATGAGGATCAGGTCGCTGAAAATGGCTTGTCCTGTCCTGTCGGTCCATCTGTCTGATAACCGGAAAGATGGACTAGTCTGGCACAGTTATACTGATCTGGATATATGTCCGCCTGAGAGCCACGAGAAGGCCAAGGAGGTTCTTGCTGCAATTGCTGGAGGTATCCTGGACCGTGAAGTTGAGACCAGGGGTCTCGATTTCATGAACCGGGAGCGGGCCAAGAGACATGCTGAGCATCAACTGACCGAAGCTTACTCTCAGAATTACTAGTTCTATCTACAGAATTTGGATAGCACCAATCTGATACTTCTAAATCAAAGATAGTCTGCCTCGATTACCAGTAAGAAAAACAAATTGACTGATGTTTTGGGTATCATCGTCATGCCATCATCCATCAATGGATCAGACCAGCAATCAACGGCGGGTAAAATATTAGACATTAATGAGCTTCACCCGTGCCCGATCAACATGGGCCACCTCCAGCACCTTGGCTGTCTCGATCTGAACCTCAGGTTTAGTCTCTGGATAGTGCTTGATTCTCCCTCCCTCTTGAATGACGCCTGTTCGATCAAGGAAATTACGGGCTCGGACAAAAGGGTCCAATTTCCAGTAATTAACGCGAAGTTGTGCCATCACTTTCAAACGGCGCGACTGGACAATCGCAACCTCTTCCGAGCAGTCGTGTCTCGTTGCCTCGATCCACTGGGACGTAAGGGAAAGAAATGCTTCGCTGATATGTTGTCGCTCAGCCAGTAACGCATCCCGCGCTTCGTCGTCCTCCATTAAGTCGTTCTCGTCCATCTCAGGCTCGGTATACTCATACTCCCAGTCTTCATCACCTCCAAGCTCGCTCACAATCTGACTGGGATGAATGAACTGTGCGAGATCCTCCACCGACTTGGTGAAGTGGATTTTTGTCACCATGTCTGGGTCAATCCAGTTTTTAATGATCTTCCATATCCCTTCGTAGGCTCAGTTAGTGGTGAGCGATAAAAGACAGGAAGGGGCCAAGCACCTGCAAAAATACGGGGAGCATTGTGGATGAGCAAAACTCCCAGCGACTCGGGATAATATAATTCAAAACATCGGATGATGAACTTTACAGGGGCGTACTCCTGTATGTAGAACATCAATAGGTGATCTCCCCAACCGTGAAGATAAACACACCATATTTGCGAGAGAAAACCCAGTCATGTCGAAAATGACAGTCTACAGTCTAAGTCAGTCATAAGATCCACCTATGTCAGTGGTACATACCGCTGTCTCCACAGGAGGCACAATGAGAAGCCGGACGGACTCCATAATATGCGTGATGTATCGGTTCATCACCTCTTCCGACTGATCCTCGGGTCGATGCAATCGCACCCGTACCACACACAAAGGCCGGTTTAGTCGATCGACCCCATGGACATAGCATTTTCCCATTTGTAACTGACTGAGAAAGCCACGCGATAGTTGCGCCTCGGCAGCATTCGAGGGTGCCTGTGACTGGAGAATCGCGCAAAGCTCACCCTCTGGCAGTAGACGGTCATCCACATGCATGTCCTTTATTCGCCATTGCAAAGCGTTCAGAAGTAGAATAAAAGCCTTGCTGACATTCCACTTGCAGAAACGCAGGTATCGAAGCATCCATCGATCCGGATATTCATGTTTGCTCGCCGTGAGTATGCCCCAGCGGACATCGTCTGGACTCAGGTAGGTCAAGGACTTTGCCACAGATCGGATCTCAGACGCGGTCATTCCGATACTGCGAAGACTCTGGACTAGTGGGTTGGAAGGTGCCGGAAAGGACGCTGTGCTGCTCCTGCGCAATAGGATGGAATCCGTCCGGGTGAGCAGCGAGTTTCGGCGCGCAAAGGACGATATTGAATTTGTTTTATTCCGTTCGACACTGTTGACGCGGAAGAGCTGTTCGAGGTCTTTGAAAGAGGCGGCATCTTCAAGGTAGAGAACCAAGGACCACAGCTGCTGCAAGCATCGCTCCTGTTCCCTCGACAGATTTCCCAGAAACCCCGGAGGGATATTGCTTGGGTCTGGAACCATTTGAGGGTAGAACAATCACTGTTACAGAAGACGGGTATTCGACCCCGCGCAGGGATACACAGAGGTTTGCGCACTCTCATTAATCGGTGTACGCTGCTGCACAAGCGCCATCAGGTGCAGTCTGCTTCCCCGCACAATAACATTCCCTCCTCGGCTCGGCGGCTTCGACCCTGGCAGTCAGGGCGCGTGATTGGCTTTGGTTCTTGGATCGGACGGGCCGCTGAAGAACCGAAAGGGAGATGGGCCAATCATGTCTTGTATGGGTAATTCACGGTGACTGCGGCACTGGCAATGGCATTGGACATCTGATTGGTTAAAGAGTGGTCCTTTAAAGGGTAGCCAAAATGACGTCATACAGCAGTCACGGAGGTCTTGTGTACCTTGTTAGATCAAGGTAGTACTGGAATGAATATTTGACGCATATAACGCTCCACACAGGGTTTGCTGTAATCTACATTTGTACTAAGCACAGAATACAGTTATCCTGACGTCGGTCGTCAAATCCGTCTAATACTCATTGCTAAAATACACAATCTCCGCATCCCTTGGAGATGGAAAAAGGAAAAACCTGACTCATGCATATATGTACAAGGGAAGATTCAAGAGGTAGTCCGTAGCACTCCAATCACTTGCTCTCTTTCTTAGCCTCTCCAGCAAGGCTCTCGGCCTGCTTGGTTCTCTCTGATAAGACACCCTGGATGTCATTGAGGGTATCCTTGAGGATCTTCTCCGCCTCGGGGCCCTTCTTCTGCGCAATACTCTGGAGTGACTGCAGCTGGGAGAGAATGTTTGAACCACCTGGGAACTTGTCGGCCAGACTGTCAAGGTTGAAACCACTTTTCTTGGCTTGATCGACGGTCTGGTTGATGTATCCCTCCAGGTTTCCTACGTTGCCTGAAGACGAGCTTTCCTTGATCAGACCCCAGAGTTCCCCAAAGTTGCCCTTTCTCAAGGCATCGCTGTTTTTCTCAACAAGTTCCTTGACCTTGGGGTTCCGATCAAGGTATGGCTTAACCTCTTCCATACCTTTCTGCCATGCCTCATCACCCAACTTCTGGAGCTTCTCTCTCTTCTCCTGAGCCAGCTTCTGAATCTTCTGGACGGTCTCCGCATTGACACCGCTCGAGACGATGTCCTTCACTTGCTGCCATGTTCTGTCTACCTCCTCTTTCGCCTGCGGACCATAGGCATTGCCCATCTCCTTGAGCTGATCCAAGCTGCCACCGACCTTTTCCTTGATCTCGGGATGGTTGTCAAGGATGTCACCTGCAGACTCGCCGGCGAGTTCATACAGACGCTTGAAGTGCTCTTGTAGAGTATCCCGGATCTTAACAGCAGTGTTCACATCGAGACCGCCTTTCTTTGTGGCTTCACGCAAGTCTTTGTACGCATCACTGACAATCTCATTGAATTCTCTTCCATGCTTGCGCTTGATCTCCTCGAGGTCGTCAAACGCCTGGTCGACATAGGGCTTGGCCCCAGGGATCCACGATGCGTAGTTTTTCGCTGTATCTCTCAGCCAACCAAAAGCCTCGTCGGGATCGGGAGTCTTCTGAGCGACTGTCTTCTTCGCTTCGTTGTAGTATTTTTGGGTTTGGTTTGCCGTCTGGACAAGCTTCTTGGCTCCGGAGAAGTGGTACCAGGTGTATCCTGCGAGGAAGGTCACCGCTCCACCAGCGAGGCCGCCAACCAAGGCAGCGTTAGTGCCATTCCCGGCGGACTGAGTTGAGGTAGCGTAGCGGCGAGAACGTTGATTGCGAAGAGATGCCCTTGTTTGACCCCAGAGCTGCTGCCTGGCGCAGCCTGTTGCGAATCGAGAACCTCGGGTCAACATGTTGTGATAGAGTGTTATGAAGTAGGAGATGAGCTGAATGAAAAGTTAAGATTCGTGTGTGAACTTAGTCAAAAGATTGTCAAGATCCGTAGTAGTCAATGGTATTTATAAGTAGGATGCAATGACGATGCCGTAGAGTGAGTGACATTATCATACCTTATGGGGCAGGGCATGTCCATATCCATTGCGTCATGATTACTCGGTACTTTCCCTGTTTCCGGCAGCCACGCCAAGACATCTGGCTTGTTACCATAACAAGAATGATCGAAACTGGAATGGCATGATGTCGGTGTTCTTATTCTACTCCGTAGTGTCTAGTCTATCACTTGCTACATATCTAGTGCCGAGTAATCATATTATCCACGGCTGTTTGCCAGGATTATGCTTAAAATTTAGTCTACTTTTGACCCCGATGATGATGTCACTGGTTGGCATCATTAACGATTGCCCCCCTGCTGGCACTTAGTTTCAAAGTCATAAAACCCACAATCCATGCGATTCTATTATATTTGTTGACAATGTCTGAGCACCTGCTTTCTGATATAGGTGGCGTTGCAGAGCCAGCCATCTCTGCCTGGCTACGTTCTGGCTTCTGCATGTCATGATATAGAAATTGATTGTACTTCTAATCAAAAAGTACTATACGTTGTATTGACTTTTGCTCTTGATATTGTATATTCTGATCGAAGATACTTAGATGGGACATATGTCCTTAATACGACTGATCATGTCCATGCGCGCTGCCAGTTTATCGCCCAATTTGACCAACTCATCACCGGGCATCGCACGGCGGAAACTGGCTGCGCGACTCACCCGGGCAATGTCCAACAGTCCCAATGAGGCAAGGATCAGGTTGAAAATGGCCAGGGGCGCATTCTTCTCGTCGTCGACCACCGTGTTCCAACGTCACATTACCGACCGTTCCCATCAGCATGACAATGCGCCCAATCGTGGCAAGCGAGGTCAGCCCGGTCACGAGCTCACCGACGACGGGGACGAAAAAGCAAATGGCGCTCAGGAAGGCAAAGGCGATCGCCTTGCGCTACTCCCGATCCATCTCCTCGGCCACCTCGACGATCGATTCCACGTTCTCCACCGCTTCTGCAACCATGAAGATGGGGAGTGAAACTGCCTCAACGAGAGCATCAGTCAAGCCCATGTAAGTGCCTTCCTTGACCCTTCGGACTGCGTCGTCCAGCTGCGGCTTCAGGTCCTGCAGCCGTGCATACGCCTCGGTCACTACGTCCCTTGGGTTGATCACATCCTCCCGCTTATAACCCTTGGCACGGGGAAGTTGTAGTCCCAGTTCTGATCTCTGCAGTGTTTGTCTGTCGGCGCACAGCCGAAGTGATGCACGTTTTCCCAGGTAATATCGTCCTGCGTGGCACCCGTCTCAGAGTACAGGTCGGCCCAGAACTGCTCGGCCTTGTCATCATGCAAAGTGCAGTAAACGGACTGGGTGTACCGGAGCCCCTTGGCTGGAGGCATCTCGGCTCGTTGCGAGCAATTTGGAGGACAGGCCTGGCTGATGTTGCGGTAGCGGCACTCCGGGGGCTCGCCCTAGACCTCCGGGTTATTGCAACTCCCTTCCGGCGCACAGTCGTACTCCTCGCAATACCGACAGTTGACGTCCGTGTATTCCTTCTCCCGCCACATGTCCAGGCAGTAGTTACAGCAGGTGATGGTCTCCGTCACAATACAGCCAAAGGACTTGTTGCCCTTGTCAAGCATAAACTCATCCACCACCTTTGTACTGCCCTGGACGACGGCGCCGGCGTACGTGTTGAATTTGCCATCGTACCCGTCAGCCATCATGATATCGTAACGGGAGAGCGAGTGGCGAGGGTGGCCTGCAAAGCCTGCAAAGGGTACTGCGTTCCACACTCGTCCGATAAGTCTGCAGCAATCTGTTCGATGGCTTCAAAGGTGGAGTAGGTTCCGGTACATTTCTCCGGTTCGGGGGCAGGGTCCAAGACATCGGAGCTGTAGTCATCATTGATGAATTTTTTGCAGATCTACCACCCAGTCAATGGTACCGACGAAGTTGAGTCCCTTCCAATGGCTGCGACGGGGGTCCTTGGTCGTATCTGACATGTACGCGACCCATTCAGTGTCTAGACAGAGCCACGTTAGCGTCCACTGACTCCATCCGCCTGGTCCTGGGAGAAGGAATTCTTCAGATTCATGGTTCCTTACCGTCGTAAACCACCATGTCCGAGTTGGAGGCCCCGTCATGCCAGGTCTTTACGTTGAGATGCAAGTCGATAATGTCATTGATCTCTGCATTGGAGGCCGTGTCAGTTCAGTACGCATTCCCTTGGCGACCGGTGGACTCAATCGGTCGCCCTCAAAAGTGCACATGGGACCGGTGCAGCCCGCCTGTGACATCTTGAATGTGCGTCCATAACTTGACTCGCCCACAATGATCTTGTTGGTCGGCACACCGGCCTTGGTGACTGTCGCTGTCAGTATGCGTAGCTCTCAACGACAATCATGGAGGGACTCGTACTCATCGCCAGAGTATATGTAGCCTCAGTCAAGTTCACTGAACGCGGAATTAGCTTGAACCCCATAGCTAGGCAAGACAACATACCATGGCTCCGCAGGCAGTTTCCTGCCGGGCAGCCTTCAATCGACCAAGGATTTCCAGCATCCCATTGTCCTATGTGAATCATGTATTAGGCAGGCAGTCTGAAAACTAACCATGAAGATCGTAAGTCATGTAGACAATATAGTCCAGTTCCTTGGCCATCTCCTTGGTGGGAAAGGCCGGCAAGTACCAGTACGAGCCCGGTGCTGCAATCGACAGCGATTTCCCAGCCGGCAGCGTTCGTCGGATCGTAATCTAAGAATTTGAGGTAATGGGGGCCGTCCGATGGCAGATCCGGTGGTGTTCCATCAATGTCCATCGCCTGCAGAACGGTCAGCGTGTCCGGAAGCACAAAAGAAGGAGAATGACTTACTTCTGGATATTCCCGGTCAAAGTCCACGCCGTCGAGGCTCTCGTCGGAAAGAAACTTTGCAATATTCTTCGAGAACTTGGGCCTGTTGGGGGGGCTCATCACCTGGTGGAGGGTATTGTACGTCTCCGGCTCGGTGGAGTAGCCCTAGCCACCGAACGAGATGATCTTCTTGGAATTGAGCACGTTCTTGAATTTATCCCACTGCTTGTAGTAATCCCTGATCTTCACCGACCGGTCCGAGGTGTCGATTTCTGCAAACGCCCAGTGGATACGCGTGAAGCTGCCATCAGTGTTGGCACGGCCCGCACGCATGCGCAAGCAGTATCGGCTGAAGTTCCACGATTCGCAGTACCCGATTCTGCTATACTCAGTAGGGCCCGCCCCATTGTTCACCACATCTAAGCCACAGCTGGAGACGCATCCGTTTGTGCCCGGCGGGGAAGTTCCTTGGTTTCCCCGTAGGTCCTTTCTCTTCGATGCAGAAGTCCGTGTTGACGCCACATTGTCCCCAGATATTGCAACAGGCGTTGAGAGGGCATGGTTTCAGGTCGGCCAGTTTCTTGTCGCCAGATGGCAGGTAGGGTACCGGGCTTGGTCGGCCCAGGAATGGCATTAGAAATCGGGGTGGGCATCGGCGGATTGCCCTTGCTGAGGCAGATGTTGATTCCTGCCATCTTGAGGCCTTTTGCATCCGTTCCACCCCCAGGTGATGCCGTCGTTGAACTCCTCCAGCTGCTTGACTGTCATCCCGTTCGAGACGGCCAACTGGGAGCAGGTGTCCCCGATGGCAACTGTGCAAGACGCACAGGAGCTGTCTTCATTTGGCTTGGGTGAGATGGGCTGCCGCTTTCCTGTGCGGCCTGTGAAGAGAGTCGAGCTATTCTTAACAAACCCACTCTTTTGGAGCTTGAGTGTGTTCTGGACTTGATATTGGAAGTCAACAGGGCTCTCAATATTTGGAACGTAGTTAAAATATAAATAATAGCGTTCCAAACGCCTTGCAGAGATAGGACAAATGTTCCTGTCAAGTTCAAGCCGAATTATGTTTTGCTAGGATTGACCAGACCATAAATTTATTTCACTGGCGTTCTGTTCTTAGGAGGAAATTGCTCAGGTTAAGGCTTGCCACGGCCACTCAAGCCATTCACGCCAAGGGGGTCCTAAGAATTGGGTAACTGATTCTATCAAAAACTGACCACCATCTTGAAATACCCAATGATCACGGCAAGAGTGAATAAGTGCGCCATAATATGCCAGGATCACTAAAGCTTCTCCCTGATTTGACGCTAACAGATCCACATACTTCGGGGACACCATGACTGGCCACGCTACCAGAGCATGGATGCGTAAGTGGTCTTTCTTCAAATCAATCGCCGTCATCACCAACTGCAGAGCTTGAATTGTCTGGCGAAAAACGTTGAGTCTTGCTGCATCTTTTTCCGTAGCTTCAATACGTTCGAATAGAGCTTCGCACACCGGTCCAAGATCAGATTCCATAGAGGGAAGCTGTTCACTAAAGGCCAAGAGCGGCTTAAGTTTGGTTCCCCGAAGGACGTCCCATCTTCCTTCGGCTGTGACAGCTCGTATTCCTTGATGGACTCGAAGATACTGCACGAAACGGCCGATAAAGCCCTCGAAAGGACCTTCTCGGAGGACAAGGGTATCACAGAGTAAATAAATACCTAGTATTGCAGCAAAGAGGAACATCGAGATGCAAGCATCTTGGTCGATATGAGGTGAGAGGCTATTGAAGTTGGTTAATGCATGATTCTGAAGTTGGGTCGCATGATGTCGATAGAAGCGTCGATGATCTGGCTTAGTGATGCTGAGATTCAAAGCACTTATAGCTAGCGTCATATTAAGGAGGTAGGGTGCTTCAAGGCCGATTTTCAGCATGTCAGGAAACGACATGCTAGATGAGACGTCGCGAGCGTCAACCCAATTGGCACTTTCCACAAATACATTGTGAAGAAGCTCCACATGAAGTAGATTGACTGGAGGATCTGAGGCGGGGCCACAGGGGGCTGGTATACCTTGTTGGGCGGGTGAGTTGGTGGCAGAAGAAGCAGAGGCAAAGTCGTGGCTGGTGCTGGGTGAAGCTTGTGCAGAGGAGATGATTGAAAGAGCAGGCCCCGCGAAGTGGCACTGTCGTTCCGAAGCAACGCAATTGGAGCAGATGGGCCGTCGCTCATCACACTGGTAGTTAAGTCGGCAAGTCTTCCAATCAAGTCTAGAACAATTATTGCATACCTTCACGTGGCGACGCTTGCATTCAACACAGCCATTGCGAGACTTCTTATGCGTCCTGCGTGGCATGCCGGCTGTACGCGAATACGCAAATCCAAGAGCATTCGGCGTCGCGAGTGAGAGGTCATGTACCCGCCCAAGCGCAAACCCTGCAGTCTATTTCAAGGCACTCGCGTTTTTCAGCTTCTCCGACCCGTACATTGATGATTGATCTCGATGGACCGGTTGCTCAAGGGGGTTGGTTGACGTCATACGCGTATGCACGGACCAGTCAGGCCCACAGATTCGGGCTTTTCTGGCCCTGCATTGAGTGCCTTGGCCAATCAGATCTCAAGCCTCACAAAGAATAAGGCTCCGAATGCCCGTATACACGAATCAAGCTCGCACTCTGAACCCACATGTTAAAGGTCTACAAGTCCCACTCTTTCTATACACATGTAGGAGTAGATGAACCCCACCAAATGAGATACTTCCTCCGTACAGTGCACTACTACGCGTAAGATCTAGCACCTGTTGAGATCCACCCACCACACCGCCCATATAAAAATTGGCCTACCAGACCGCTTTGCAAGTCACTGTACAGGGCACGTAAAGCACGTAGATCGCGTTTCTTTTCTCAATTATTGGGTACATACATAGCGCGCTCTTACAATCCGCATTTATAAGACTCCGCCTTTGTCACATCCAAATCGGCAGACACAAGTTGCGCCTTCTCCGGATAAGGGCACAAAATCCTCTCATACTGCGTCCCATTTGTATCCTTGAAGTTGATCGGCAGCGTGTCCGGAGCGACGCCTTTTTCTACCCAGTCGACCAGCGCTTGGAACGTCGCTGTTGGCTGTCCTCCCACTCCACCAGCACAGTGCGCTAATCCTGGGACTTCGAAATAGCGGAAGAAGTCCTTGATATTTGGTGTCTGCTCTGTGGCACGATCGTAGTATTCGTTGGTTCCTTGTCTAAGGATAAGACCGTCGGCCTTCAACGTCATACAAGTCAGCATGAAAACAATGCGTGCGCGACAGACTCTAAAGATAGGGAGAGGAAATTGTGGGGTTGTAACTCACCGTGCCATGATAAGTAATCATTTTGCCGCCCGCATCACGAAATGCAGAGAGGTCAGTATCAAATGTCCCGAAAATCGAGTCAAACTCCTGGGCAGAAGCCTGAAACAGACGTGCGTACTCCCCAACTGAAGTGATCTTAGAATAGTTCCAATTAGGATCCTTCTTGACCATGAATTTCAGCCAGGCTTCTCCGAGTCCAGCAGGCGATCCTACACAAGTCCCATTCGAACTGCAACTCGTCATCGCTAAGCCCAGAGCTGCAGTGGTGCTCCGATCTCCAGAGCCAGTCAGTCGAGATTGGTAATCGAGACCGTAATAGAGGAAATCTCCATTGGCTTTTCGGGGCCCTGTCCAGGTAAGGTTGGCGATAGCGGCAGCTGCGTTGCTGATCGTGCTAGCTTCGTTATCGCAGTTAATAATCCTACCAACCATGGAGAAGGGATCGAAGGAGCAGGCAGCAGGGTCACTAATGATGCCGTCGGTGACGCCATCCTGTGGATCGCAAGTTGCAATAGCACCAGCTGTAACCGCGTCTAATTCACATTTCTGGGGAAATTGCCCGGTGAGCTCCATCATGACCTGTGGCCAGGCAAGCGCAGGAAAGAGACGAGCCCAGTTAAAAGCTGGGGCCGCCGCGGCAATGCCATCATACGCTTCTGGATAGCGCTGGGCAAGCATCATTCCTTGGCGACCACCTTGTGAACAACCTGTAAAATATGAGTACTCTGCAGGCCGGCCGTAGAACTCTTTGATGAGTTCTTTTGCAATGATAGCCTGAAATGGGGACTTAGTGATAGCCAGTAGAGCAAGGTCGAAGTCTGTTCATACGTACCTGATCCTTCAAAGACACGGAGGCGAAGTTCTGGAGGGCATACAAATTTACATTTCCGGGACTGTTCAGAGCCCACGGATCTGGCACAAGGCTCAACCCGATACCGCCGTCGGTAGTGGTTGCAACATAGCCGTTTCCGAGAGCTCCAGCCATAGCAGTATATGACAGAAAGAACCGACCAGCCACATAGCCGCCACCTCCAGTAGCCTGAAGCCGTCCGTTCCAATCTTTCATTGGAAGCCATGTCTCAACATTGATTGTGTCATTCTGACCGGGATGCGTATATGTGACAGTGACGTTGCAGTAGTCAATGTTTCTCACACTAATGGAAGGATTGTTGAAATAGTACTGGTCTGATACTTCGGAGGAATAGTTCAGAACAAGATTGGCTGAAAGATTCAGGATCTCAGCACCGAATACCGTGGGATATGCGATGGCACTCGCAGCACATGCTGAAGCTGGGATCGAAGAGACGTTCATTCTGCCGAACCGGAATGATGATGGGCGAACACGTCGATTGAAAGAAAAGGCGAAGAGGTACTGGACAAGAAGTCTGCAAGCTTGCATCTTTATATCGAAGATGCCAAGGGATGCGAATCGTACACAGTTTGCCGTCTAACTTGCTAATTTGGCCAAACACTAGGAGGGGGCCTCCCATTGATCATGTACATCCATGAGCGCGGGAAGTGGAGAGTGATCGTCGCTCGTATACATAATACGACGTATTTGGAATACGACAGATGCATAATCTCTCAAATTCTGAATGGCACTTGGAAGAAAATAGACAGCAACACTAGGCTTCAATAAACGGCCGCTCGAAATCAGTTTCACTATGGCTTTTGATTCCTTAACCTAAAGTTAACTTGAAGGAGTACCATACCAAATTTGTCTAGTCAGTCAGTAGCAGCCCTTTGATCTTGGCTATCTTCCTTCTCGTCACCCTCACCAGCCTAGACTGGGCAGAGGTGGGACTTGCCGATACCGTTTAGAAATTTAAAGAATAAAATGGTGAAACTAATTTCGAGCGAACCTATACTAAGAAGAACATTATTCTAACTATGAGATGCAGCACAGCCTAAATAAGCTTAGTCTCATTCCAGCAAGCAGCTCAAAGCCCTCGAGAAGGATCCTGGAGCACCTGGTTCGGCCAATCGAGCCAGTCTAACCAATACGTGCCAAGGAACCGTGTGATCTCGGAAATGAGCATCTGACCAGCATTGCGTACAAGCCATATGTGCCGTCTTCGATGGAGGAGAACCGCGTAGTGGCAAAGAATGATGAGCGCCTCGGGCCTTCGTTTCATGAGAAGGTTAGTGAAAGCGCCTGACAGCAAACTAGGCCAAGTCCAAATCAAGCCAGGAGCCTTCTCGGGAGGTGTCTCTCCTATCGATGACTCGGACTGATAAAGGAGCTGTAGACTCTCCACAGCTTCACGGCAAGTGTGCTGGGATTCTGGGCCCATATCTGCGTCGTTAAGCAGGCTGTGCAATCGGTCGGCGACGAAGGTAGCTTGTTCTTGAGTTTGCAAAGAAGCAGCATGCAACGTACGTTCCGCACGATTAAGCATAGACGAAATGTTGGAGTGTAACAGCAGCTGCCATGATTCGCTAGTGACGGCACGCACGCCCCGATGAAGATTTAGATACGTAACGAATCTGTTCAAAAAACTACCTGCATCCGTTTGAGAGGCTATGACTGCTTCCCCGAGGGTATGAAGGCTGAGAAGGCTCGAGAAAATCAGCATAGGTGCACAACTTTCAGTCGTAATCTCGGCCAAGGAGTCATTGAACAGACTTAATGCTTTTGTTTGGAGGAACGTGGCTTCCTCGCGATAATGACTCGCTTGGGCAGCCCTTATATGGCTCAGATGTAGAGCAGAAAGTGCAAGCATTTGATACATGGCATATGGGGCAGAGAGCGCAGCAGGCATAATAGCACGGAAACTCTCATGATCAATACTCCCTCCCTCGTAAACGCTCGGACCGGTGTCGAGAATGAACTGGCTAAACAGCTCCATATGGTGCATGTTGAGAGGCGAGTACAAGCCGCCGGATTGTACTGATGGTGTTGGGGTGGATTCTGGGCAAAAAACGGAGGGGGTGGATAATGACGGCGCCAACACATCAGACAACGGCCCTGAGGAGACTGGCGAAGGTGCGACGGTCACGGGTGTCGTGACAGTTGGGTCGACAGCGGTGGACAAGTACGGACGGGAAACTCGGACAGAGGATGGTCGAGCTGCACTTGACGATGAAGATTGATAATTGCAGGTCCGAGAAAGATCCAGGCAGTTGGTGCAATTGGGACGGGCCTCATCGCACTAAAGGAAAACCACATAGGCACATTAGCGACTACTGCCAATGGGAAATGGAATCAAGAACAGGCAACAGGCAACAGGCTGCTTACCTTGACATGCCGACGTTTACACTCCTGACATCCAAGCCTAGACTTCTTGTGCGGCCTGCGCAAGACCCTGCGAGGCGGCATGGCGACGGCGACCGTCGACCGTATCGCCCGGCGGTCACTCGCTTAGCGACGAACAGCAAAGATAGCTTAATAGGTACAGGATATACGAGCTGGTGAACGAGCGAAATTAAGGAAAAAATTGAACAGGAGCCAGGGAGGCTTTCATACGAATACGACGGCCGGAACCTGGGTTCTGCGCTTCTTTATCTTTGACGATCCGTTTCATCCAGTTAGAGGTCGAGCAAGGGCACCCTAGCTCCGAGGCCAAACATACCCTTAAGCTGGATATTCGGATCTTCAAGTCGGGAGATAGTGGCGGCGTCACCGCTGGCGCTATCCTCATCACCGTATAGCCTCGGAGATCTCGATACGACGTATACTCAAATTCCACAACATGCAACTCAACCGACTCCCGAGATGAGTTACAACCTACTATGCCATATTCCGAGGTTCTAACCTGCAAAGAGTCCCTGGAGATTGAAAGCGCGCCCAGCATAAGGAATGGTTGCGAGCCATAGTGAAGTTACCTGCTTCACCCATACTATGTACACTGTAGACTACCACGTTACGGCGGACTATAGCTACAATGTGGACTTTTGGTATTTTTACAATGATTACAGATCACCACACCCCTCCTCCCTATAGTTGCACGCACTGCACTATCCCTACTACATGAGAATATTAATACCAGACGGCATTCGATATCAACTGTAACGGATTAAGCAGTGCTATGCTTTAACCCCTTGTTTTACTGCTTTTTGTCTTCTGCTTTCAGGCCTTGGGCTGTTTTCGTAACGTCACTGTAAGCATCTAGGATACGCAGTGAAGATATATAGTGTCCCCCTTGTCTGATATTAGAGAAGACAAGGATTAGTCTTGTTATTAAGTGATCTAGGCTACAGCTAGACTGGCTGACCCCATCCACAAATCCATATCCAACCCACCCAATCCGCACTTTGGGTTGGATGGGGGTCGACCCTGATCCAACCCACATAGATATGGGTAACACATTGGGTGCACGTGACCGGCAGAATTATTGATATCCATGATATTCTCTCAATGAAGATATCTTTCCACCTACTAAAAGTAGTAAATAGTCTAAATTCTTAGGTCTTTCCGCCTACCAAAGTAGTATAGTCTATATTCACGTGTAAAATATGGGTAGAATGGGTATCCGCAACCCAACCCGCATGGATAATAGGGTGGGTTAGATAGGTGGTGGATCAACCCAAAACCCATGTGGGTTGGATTGAACCCTCTGCGGATCCATCCAAACCCAACCCACGAACAGTCTAGCTACAGCACCCTAGGGAGCACTAGTAATCTTTAGTAAATATTTCTGAAAGTTCTATAAAAGCTTCTAATTCCCTTTTTTAGGCATAAGGATATTAGTACTTTTAGAAGAGCCTTAATGAATCTAGGGCAGTGCTTAATCTCCCTATACTAGTGGTTTTCAATATTTATTTAAAAGTTCAAACGCAGCCGCTTCTTCTTCCAGATGGGATTGCGGATGTTAGAATCCGCGTTCATCCTCGCCTTGCCCTTTCTTATTTATCAGCCAGGTGTCCACATCTAAGGAACAGTCAATGGCAATGTTGTTCTGTTGTCAGGTCCGAAAGAGTCACTGAATCAGAGATGGCAAGTCGATAACTTGATGATGTTCAGCATGATGTACAATTGTACATATTATACTTTTGCTCGGGGCCTACTAGCAATTCAGGCCCGGTGTGATTTCCTTTGTGCACCTATATGGTCCATGTTGCCCTGTTCTAATTGGACTGATGTGATCGGTAAGCAAAGATTAATGAGTATAATAGCGTTGTTAACCAAAATCCTCAGTGACCCTCGAGCACAGTAGCTGCGTTGTTGACTCTCTCTGCCACTATATCTCTCCAAAGGTACGTGTAGAAACTCACTCTCCCAGTGACATCCCTTACTACGGTATCAACTTGAACCAGAGCATCATCCTCTCCAGAATCGGCTACTCTACCGCCGCAACTCTGCTCGAAAAGCTCTGGAAACTGGCCATCGGCCACCTGATCGTCTAATCTGTCTGTTGTAAGTTCCCCCCTTGACCAGCCAAGCTAAACGCCTGATGAGGATAGGGCTACCTCCCCGGTTTCTACACTGGTATATTCCTTCCCGATCGCATCGGCCGCGTCCGACAACAGTTCTGAAGTCGTCTCCTTAGTTGCGTTCTCTCCGCCATCTGGGCCGGAATCAGTGCCCCGACCGCACACACCTCCACTGCCGGATTGACCGTCATCTTCGCCACCTCGCAGTTAGTCCTCTGCGCCGGCCCGAACGCGACCACCTTCTTGATTTTGACTCGAGGTCTTGCCGACTCGGGTTTGTGGGTTAGCGCACGGTATCTCCACCGCGATGGGCAAGTGTGATGCGATTCTGACTTTGTTGCCTTTGGGACAGTGTCTCGAGAATGCTATTAGCCTCAGTGGCATTCTGGGATTGTTCCTGGGGATCATGCTGTTGACTGCGTTGGTGACACTAATGATTCCAGAGACAAAGGGGCAGAGTTTGGCTGGGACCGAAGGAGATATGATGTATGCGGATTCGTCGTCTACTACAGACTTGAACCCTGATGTGGATGATTCGGTGAAAAGGAAGGAGAATTCGTCACTAACAGTGCTGTTTAACCATTCTCTTCATTCTCTTCTCTGCGTGGTTGCAAGTCCTAGTGCATATATATTCCAGTCTCATGATCGAACCCTGCCCTCTCAGAGCAACACATAGCTTCGTTAACACCGCCATACCATAGGGCCAAGACCTAGAGCTCTAACGACGCCAGAAACATCAGGTATAAGTCGACATTGACAATATAGTGAGAGCTTTAGCGGCTTGTTAACTGCAGTAGTCTTTTGCTAAAGACAAGGGAGAACTGTCCTGCCTGATGTATAAATAGACACTACAAGGGATGTCGCCTTTGCTGGCATTATCATTCCCGCTCCTTGTCAAAAATCATGGCAGGGGACTCATAAATTGGTTGGGTAGGCATAGCAATTGCGCAAGTCTCCAAATAATCTGCGCATACCCTCTTTGATAGGACTTTTAGATCGACTGAGCCCCAAAAAAATAGGCGAGCATAGTAGTCAACTCACCCGCAAATGTCCTGGAAAAGACGCCCATAAAATAGTTGAATTGTTCCATGTAAAGCCCTTAACAATCCAAGCTTGATACCATCGCGTCATTCAGATCTGGTGTGATCTGTCACTTCCACTTCGAAATCATACTTGTACCAACGATCGCCTTCCCATTTCATCAACTTGCCAAAATGGTTATATTCATGGTGACTGCGCTCTGGTTTAGTCTGCTCGCTTGCGAATTTTCCATTGAACCGATAGTCAGAGCCATGGTCATTGAGCAGTTTTGACCTGTGGCCAACTTGGACTAGAGCAGCATCCGGATTTTCACACAAAAACCGATACATCTTATCCATGGCATTCTCATATCCGATTAGATCGACCTCAGCCCAATCCTGTGGATGGATCCCTTCCCAGTGGGCGTGAACATCCGTTGTGTAGTGCTCAATTCGTGGGGTGGTCATTGTTTATAGGATTCGCGGAAATCACAATTTCCAACTATGAGATTCACAAGAGTAGGCGGTTGCCTGTGGAGAGGTATAATCGTGCGGGGGAAAAGTACTAAACATTTTTCAGCCTTGAGAAGGGGAGGGGAGTTAGATATTAAACTATGGGGCAAATTGTTTGTCTGGATGTAACAACATCATGATGTCATGTCTGTTGTTAGAGTGTTAATCATATGATTCTCAGAATGGATCATGTGTCACTTCATGTAACAGGATGGAATAATAGCAACCTAATTAAACATGGACTAACCCCTTTTGTTAAAATTTCCTGCAACTAGCCACAAGCCTAACCTATGTATAATCTAGTAATGATTCTTAGTGGACTAAAGAGGTAGTTATAGGATGAAAATAATACCTTGTAGTGTACCATAAGTAACCTGACTAGGATCTATTGAATTATGTTACCGCTTGCCCGATTTGGAAGCATACGAATTGGCACTGCCACTCTTGGCCGAATATTCGATAGCATTCGATCATTTGGAAGACCCGCAATCCGACCCCTATCGAAGGCATAAATAGGTAGGAGATAGTCATTCTTTTAGAAGAATTAGACCTTCATTGATTTTCGATTGGCCATAGAAATTGCTAGCGATTCGTCAATCGATACAGTATTATCATTTTCAACGGGATCTATAATAGGTGAATAAGATAGTATTATGCTGTAAGAGCTCAGTTTCTTTATCTTTTAACCTTATTCTTCTTTTTCCTTTCTAGATAGTGATTACTATTTATAATATATAGCCATAAACTGCTTTTCCTTATTAGATATTACTGTGAGCAGCCTCTATAATGGTATTAGATCTAAAAGTTAGTAGTGTTTTAACTAAAGGCGGTATAATATACTCTTTAATATTTAACTATATATTTCCCTTATGCTCCTAATAGCAGCCTTAGCAGACTAATAATATAGCTAAAAGGTTAACTTAAAGATCATAAGGACATTGTTACTATATACTAAAAGGGTATATGCAGAGCCTAAAACTAACCACAGCTTATCAAGGCCATGTATACTAAACTTTAAAGTAACAGTCCTAGGATGATAATAGCACGCTGTCCTGTAGCACAAAGAAGCGCTGACTAGATCAGGAATGGGGCACTGAAAAGGCATTACAGTGGATGGGCTGTGGAGTGTTATACAATTATAGTTGTTAAGTTGTGAATTCTCGTAAATCAGATGATTTGATGTCATTAACTTTTTTATTCAGGACGTGATGCTTGCAGCATGGTGAAATAACAGAAAGGGCCGATGAACTAATATTAGTCAAGTTGATGATCATTGACTGGCTATTTCCTTTTTATGAGAGATGGGCCAGGGCCAGAATTAATAAGATTCATCTTTTCCAACCTTGAATACGTTGTATCTGTCAAATAGACAATATTTCTCGAATAGGCCGATTGTATTCAAGATAACGTGAGAGGCTAAAAGCATCCAATCATAGGGAAATCCACAGCAAACTAGTAGGGTAGACCTGTTCTTCCAAAATATATCTATCCAAGAACAATAGCTCATATTTCAATACTTGCACGAGGAAGCGTATCCAGCGGAGTAGATGGATCAAGGAAAGCCGCATGAGGGCACACTATTCCCTTGATGAAGGTCTGGCTCTACCAAAAAAGGGAGTCGAGGACCCTTGGGACGTTGCGTGATCATCGCTTAGCGGGGATCATTTTAAAGCGGACAAACCCCATTACTACTATCTACCCCTCAGCCAGGTTTCATAATGCAAGTAACAGAGAAGAAGAAGACAGTGGCCATTATTGGTGGTATGTATGTCACTATATGCAGTACCAAGGGATCAATTAATAAGTTCATAGGGATTTTCGGCGTCTCGCTGGCTGCCGCGTTGTGAAGCAAAGGTAAGAGTGGTGTCCAGACGAACAAAAAGGATACCTCGATAACATCCGAAGCAGGCTGTACGACTATAGTATTTGATCGAAACACATATGATAAGACAGGGTATGAGGAAGAGGATGCACAATCTGCATCGGTGGACCTGAACAAGATTGTGAGCACCTTATGAGTTACAAAAAAATGGGGCAGAAGAAGTTAATAGCTTCATGGTCTTTGCTTCGCGCATCATACGGGAAGAAACTACACTACCAACGTCTCGCCCTGGAGAGTCGACAGGCATGGATAGCCTGCGACAAGGGACGCGGAATTTCAGAAACAAAGGACCAAGACCACCGCAGGCTATTCATAGACAGTGGAATGTTACGTGTCCAGCCAACCGATAAACTCAGTGAACTGGAGGAAGGGACACTTGCAAGCATGGAGCGCGATGGACTTTATCACACGCAGTTTATCAAGAGCAGTCCTGAGGACCGACAGCGCGCAGAGAGCTTGGGGTGGTCAGGCAAACTCCTCAATTTCGATATACCAGATACCGAGCCAAGACAAACGTATGATGCAGTCCTAGACTCACTCATTGGATTTGTGAGGTCTAGTGATGCTTGTGCCTATTAGCACAAGATTGCAGTGGCGGAGGGGGTCAAGTTTTGCTTTGGGAAAGAAGGTGCAGTCAAATCCTTGGTAAAGGCTCCTAGCACCCTGGAGCCCGGAAAGGAAAAGGTCACAGGTATTCGAACTGAGGATGGGGCTCTTCATAACGTGGATGCTGTTGTTGTTGCTGGTAAGTCTCCCCACTGGTAGCTGTGGCGTGGGCTGATCAGTTATAGCTGGGTCCTTTTCGACCCATGTCCTGCCCGTGTTAAGCTACCATCTCGAGTCATCTGCCGGCAGTGTAGCCACGTTCAAAATTGATATCAAGCAGACAGAGCTCTGGGACAAGTACTCCCCCGACAAATTCCCCGTCATCACTTGGAAAGCGACTCCCCGCGGTAAGGCCGGTAAGGACACTGGTAGTATCTACGTCTTGCCTCGCACGCCGGAGGGCTACCTCAAGATCAGGTATCGAGGGATAAAGGCAAGAGGCTTCGCCCAACAGCTCATCAAATTTTAACAATCCATCTAGTTCACCAACTTCCAACCGGCCCCTGAAGGAACTCCGTTCACACAGGACAGGAAATGGTCTGTGCCTTTGCCAGTAGATCAATGCAAAAGACTCCCAAAACCAGTCATACAAGCTATATCGGAGTTTGTATCTATCTTCCTTCCAGAGTTCGAGGGCGTGCCTTTTTCGTCAACCAAGCTCTGCTGGTATACAGACTCTCTCGACAACTCCTTTATAGTACGCACACCACCCCCTGTCATACAGCGAGAACTGAATCTGACCAATATCTTGCTAGATTGACTATGTCCCAGACTACGCAGAAAAGTCGGTGTTTGTATGCACGGGAGGTAGCGGCCACAGTGCAAAGTTCCTACCGGTACTTAGGGAGGTAAGCCAGTGTCCTGCTCACATAAGCCAAACTATCACACGAACTAATATTTCACTAGCATGCTGCGGATATTTTCGAGAACGGAGATAAAAGCAAGACATACATGCGGCCTTTTTGGCGGTGGCGACCCGAGGCACACCGTAGAAGCGGCTTAGAGGAGGGACCCGGTGGGCCAAGAGACATTTCCCATGCATCCTTCCTTTGACCCGTGCGTAGTTACATGGGGAGATGAGAGTGGGATAGGCCTATCCGATTTGTCATCTAATCAATCTACATCCAATTACTGCAACCAGCGTCTGAAACCACCAATGTAACCTGGCATGTCCGAAACCCGCTCAGTATTCAATAGATTCTCGCAAGGAAAGACTTTGCCTTCCGTCTTGTTGCCGACAAGCAATCTACCAATGTTCTTGGATGTAACTTGGCGGGCTTGGCGGCTTCAACCCAAGGCGCCAGGGGGCACAGCGTGGGATGACCAGCTCGCAAGGTTCTTCATTGCGTGAGTATGGTGTAACCAACGCGAACATGATTTCTCCAGAGTTCGTCGCCTCGATACAGTAATATCCCGCTCTATAACTGCTGCTAACACCATCTGTTCAGATTCTGGGAATCTAAGTATCAGCCCCGATATCGGCTCCCGTGGGCATTTATGACCACGTTCTGGGCCATCTCGCCTACAATGTGTATCATTATTCGACTCTACCTGCAGCGGGAGAATCGTCGGCGTCAGCGGCTTCTAGAGCAACATGAGTCGGACTCTGATCGGGAAGATGTCCCTGATGCTGATGGGCAAATCGTGAAAATTGACGGTCATGATTTCGATGCAACGGATCGAACGAATCTCAAGTCCATGTATCCACTTTGATCCATTAGAGTGGAAGGGAATGGCAGCGAGGATGGACTTAGACCAGATTCCATGTAGTCAGCTGTTGCGGTATTGACTGCACTACCTAGGTACGAATAATATTTTTCATCTAGGAGGCAAGATGAATGGATGAATGCCAACAGCGGGGAAAGGAAGTAAATGCAGTACCGGAGTTGCAATATGCTGAACCATTTCTAGCGATTTGCGAGAGAAGAACCCGCAGCACTGTGATGCGTCTCGCCCCGGAGAATCTGTTCATTGTAGCAGCCTCGGTGTTGTACGTTTCCAGCCTCCTGTGCGCATAGATGGCATCACTTGGAACGCCGACGCCTAAACATCCAAAGTTAAGTGTCTCTCCGATTGATTTCATCTACGCCGAGGAAATGTGCATTTCTCCAGCTAACCAGCAAAAGAAAGACTCCATGTTAATTACAGTCACCAGAGAAGGACAAGAAAATTCTGTTACCTTCGCCAGGAGGACCGACGCGAATCCCTGCTTCAACCATTCTTACTGCTACTTACGTTCTCGGTACGGAGTAAATGCCCAGTTAACCAGGAAAGATAGTTTCTACCATTTTTGAACACCGCCGATTTGCAAAGAATTTACGCCGTTTGATATAAACACTTTGTTAGAATAGATAGATTGCCAGAAATTAGACCTTCATCCCCTTGCATTCGGTGTATATGGGTTGCCATAGATTCGCTATTAGCGCGGAGCGGCTGATACAAGGTCATAAAAACAGGCGACTCAAGGCCCGAGAATACGCCGTTTCTGTTTGATCGCCCCAATATTGATATTTCCCGAGTCCAAGAAGGGGGCCAGAAGGCGGCACTAACCGCCAACATGCTGATCCGTGCTGTCCACGGTCCGATGGAACTGAAGTCTGTTTGGCAGCTGCTGGCGACCTTGGTAGGGGGTGCTTGAAACTGGGGCCCAGAGCGACACAAACTTTGTCAAATAAGATTAACATGGACAGCTCAAAAGAGGCATTTATTTCCCGGCTGCGACGAGCTTCTGAATTGCATATTTGAAGAAGCTTGCTCAACCCTACAAGATGACCAGTGGTGGCTAGGCTCCAAAGGGGACATCACCCAGTTGTCCAATTACAAGCGGCCCTCTACCTTGTTTGTCGGCGGTTCTACGCGATTCTAATGTCATATCCCTACGCGGACCTCATGGTCCAGTGTAAGCCGTACTAGAGCTTTAAGTTAACAGCGCGTTCCGTTGAGACCTGACGTTGGAGGACCAACAATGCGAGAAGCAGCTGGCGGACTTTGCGCTGAAAGAAGAGGGCTTTTTCGGGTAAATTGCCTCTATCGCCCTTCGAAATAAACCTTCACTCCAGGAGATTAGAATCACGTTTACGCCGCTGAGCTATACGTGGGTAATTATCGAAATGTATCCGTGGGACCGCAGACATGCTCGAGATCGTCAGTTCTGAGACAAGGTGGATCCAGGTGCCATATAACACGCCCTCTATTAGCCAGAGGGATTTCATTGGTTGGAGGAGCATGAGAAGAGGGGAGAAGAGGCAGAATGTGAGAGACAATGCTAAGCAGGAGGCGGGCTAACTTCAACTCTCTAACTTGTGATGGGGAAGCTCCAGGCCTTGCCCTACTTCTTTACATTATGTACTCTATGGGTCTGCTGGGCCATCTACCCGGCTTTCAAACGGAAACTAGAGTTTCTCCTCACTTTCTTAAAGAAGCTGGCCCCCAACGCAACAGTATCGTGTACACAGCTCGCAATATCAATCAATCATACATCCTCGACCCCGTCCCCACAGCCTTCAAGATTCCCGCCTTCTCTAAATCCCTAACCAGGTTGGCAAGCATAAGATCTCAGCCCCTGGCTGCAACAAGACCCATAGTCACGGCCATATACTCGGTTCGCAGCGAAACAGTAGAGGCATACGACACCTCGCCAACGGGAACCACAACATCAGGCACACCAGCCATTGTCGCGATGCGACCGTCTTTGAAGCCTATTGGCGGCTCAGTGGGGGCGCTACAACCGTTTAGCTTGTTTCTCAATTGACTTCATCGCTTTTTACGACGTCGTTACAACATCGCAAAAAAAACAGAGAACATACCTAGTATAAACATCCCGATACTGCGCCTTCCCCGTGGAATAGGGGTAGATGTATATACCCTCCGAGCAGGTTTCTTCATTGGATACATCATAGCCCTATGATTCCCACCAGTCTTTGAATATTGTTTTGTTTCGGAGGGCCATCTCGTATCCTGGGTCGCCGCCGTTCTCTTGACTCCAGGCCCAGCGGACGCGCGGCCCAGGGTTTATGTAGGGATGACGGCCGTCGTGTTCTGCCGCGTAGTCGGTGAAAATGGGAAGGGCGAGGTTCTTGTACTGGTGCACTGATGTGAGGATTGCGTATGTCTAGTAGGTAGCGTTAGTTACCAAGATGGCTATGTGGTCAAGGCTATATTGAGCTTACCGTGTTCAATAGTTCTATGATATTACTTGGTGCCCCAGACGGGTACGTCTCCTCCCACCGCGAAGGCGTATCAACGACTTCCCTCCTCGCCTGTAAAAGCCCCTCAATTCCTGCGACAACCTCCTCAAGAAGCGCCCCAGCTTCGGCCGTATTATCCGGAAACGACGCATTGGATTAGAACAAACTTCTCGGACACCCTTTAGACGCCCTTTCCGAATTCTGATACCACGCATGAAGCACGGTGCTCAGCGTTCCAGCATCCCCCACAGACACCCCCGCCCGGTATCCAGCACGTCGCAGAGCGACAAAACCCCCTCCATGGTAACAGCCCCTGTCGACGGCCGATTCCCACAGATCCCCTGCAGTCCAGCGGGATTCCGCATTGATCCACCTGTGTCTCTTCCAACGGCTATATCGAGCCACTCGTACGACGCAATTCCGGCCGCGGGGCCGGATGAGGAGCCGCCGGGCGATTGATATCCGTCACCCTGCGCAGAGCATCAATATCGATATAAAAACTTAGTGGTAAAATAGAAGCCAACAGACGAACGGGGTCATACCCTGGGATTAAATGGACAATGAAAATCCACCCAGTCCGCCGTCGGATTGTCGCCGTTCTCAAACTGTACAGTTCCCTTTTTTTCCTACGACGATGGCACCCGCGTCGATGAGGCGCTGGATTGCAGGCGCTGTTCTGTTGCGCGGTGGGTAGAGATTGTAGAATGCGCGGTTTCCGCCGCTTGTGCGGAGGCCAGCGAGTTCGAAGATGTCTTTTATGCCGAGGCGGAGCTGGGATGTATGTCTATTAGCGGGGATTGTTGGCTGTAACTTGGATGAGGAGAGTGATTTGTTGACCAAGGGTGAGAGGGAATATAATGAGGGTGATCAGACCCCGGCAAGTGGCTTGTCTGGGCTTGGGGTGAAGTATAGCCGGGAGGGTACGGCTACTGCCTTTGTCATAGCCCCTGTTTAACTGTCTTAGTCAATATTGAAAGATTCCTAGGATTGGAGACGAATACCTCTGCTACAGCAGGTAATGGCCTAAACCCATCATCACCATCAGTAACCGCGGCCTCTGTAAACGCGAGCTGGTGGTCAGGGTATAGCCGAAAAGCCTGGTAGAGAGCCCCTGTCCCTATTGCAAGGAAGTATGGCCCTTCGGGAACATTAGCGACCAAGCTTGAACCTCGAGAATGGTACCCTGGCGATGCGAAGATGATTTTGTTAATTTTACCATAGGAAGACAGGTTTAGTTCGTTTTCGACATATCCTTGGTTGTCTGCAGTGTGATATAGAAAAATAGCTATATCATCATGAGCACAAACTCGTTCATCCAGGGCGACTGAGTTGATTACCTTTTAGGAATCTGTGTTGAAAGCCATCGTCTTCCGCGGTCACCCTTGAGACGGTCTCATGCATGTCCTGCCAGGTAAAATTCGCCTTCCTCCACCGAATGACAGTCATCGGCATGAGATTGGAGTCCGCCGTGGGCCGTGTTGAACTGAGCGGCAGTAGCGCAGAGAGCCTCGATACAGGAAGCCTGTTGACGTAGTAATTGATGCCATCTACAATAACTAGTCTGCCATTATCTGTATAGATAGCCAGGGACAAGGGTAGCAAGATAGCTATCACCATCAAGGACGCGAGACAGAGCATTTCTCATGTCAAAGAGCATCTGCTCAATCTGTTGACTGAATTTGGTATCTTTCGGAACTCCTATGGAAGGGCTTGTCTCTAAATAACTAGGTTACTGTTCGCCATGGTCTTGGACATGACCCCAAGGTTTCAGGTTATCTGGGACATCTTGAAACCTTGTTCAGCTTTTAAGCTCCTATCCAAATCTAGTGAGGTGGAAAACCTCAGCAAGGTCTTAAATATACCTTCCATTACATTTCATTGAACATTAAATTTACCACCGCAAGATCAGGGTGGTTGGGGAGTAGGGAAGGTATAAGTTAGAAATAAGGAATCTCTTTTTAGGGTGGTTCAGGAGGATTAATGATACTATTATGTAGTAGTTAAGGAGCTCATTAAGGGGTTGAATTCTATGGAGTTCAAGATCTTATCAATCTTTCCCTTGGTGATAATCTAAGACCTTGCCTAATCCTTCTAAGATCTTGCTGAACTACATGCCGCTAGATAACAATCATCTATGAACTAGAATTTAGTAGGAGGACCTCGTGGAAGGGGACGCCATTCAGCTCCTCGTGGCGCTCTACGCGCCATATTACGACTTTGCAAGTCGGACTTGGGCACTGCCGTCATCGGCGTCGTGGGGGTGGTCTAAGGAAATACCAGAACGTAGAGAAATTTGCAAAACGAGATTTAGCCGTTATCGACATTGGAGGCCAACTTCACTATGTATTTCTTTCTAACTCTGCCACATCGATCCATAGTGTACGTGCGGCCAGGAGGCCATCTACAGACGAATCCATCTCCCCATCCACTTCTCATTAACCCTCTTCGCCTCATCCACAAGCCCCAACTCCAACAACAACTGCACAGTCCCCCTAGCAGCGGACTGCAACGACGAGCTCACCCAAGCATGGGTCGGTGCCGTATGCTCGCCAATAAAGATTGTATTGTGCTCGGTGACATGATATGCCGGGATATACAGCTTATGCTGCTCGACGTCTGGGCGACACCACGCCGTCGCCGTGTGCTCGTCCTGCAACCAGCACAGCCGCTCATAGTCGCCCGTGTAGAGCTCACGCGCTTGCTCGCCATGGATTGAGACAATGGAGTCGAGGACAGTCTGCACGTGTTCTTCGTCTGAAAAGCTAACGAATCGGTCGCTCCAGTCGCCGCCGCGGTAGTGCATTATGAGCCCCGGGCGTGACTCGTTGTGGCCATACACTGGGTAGTACAGGGCCCCGACGGGCTTGCTAGGTGGTTTCGAGTACCCTCCAAAGATAGGTCGAGGCCCTCTTTCCCAGAAGCGTTCCCGGAAGAGGAGGGCGACTTTGCAGGCGGATTTGAAGCGGAGGCCAGCTTCGCTGATTGCGCGGGAGAGGACGGAGGAGAAGTTAGGGAGGTCCATGAAGCGTGTCATTGTAAAGGGGACCGCCATGATTGTGTAGTCGTAGTCTTCAAACTCGTAGGTGCGGTTGGTGATATTGGGATACCAGGAGAGGCGGGTGCGGGTTGTACCGTTGGGGCCAGGGACGGGTTCTAATTTTCGGATCTTACGGTTGAGAGTAACGCGGTTGCCAATGTGGGGGAGAAAAGCATCAGAGAGACGATTGAAGCCGCCGTCGATGCAGAGCCAGGTTGTTTCGCCGAGGGAGCTGCTGCTGCCGTCAAGACCGAGGTTGGAGTTGTGGTGGAGCTCGTCCCAGAAGATGTCGTAGTCGGAGCTTGTCCAGATCTCGTCGGTGACGTTCAGGCTGGCTTTGAAGACGTGGCGCATCATGGCTTGCTCGCTCCATTCGTCTAGGCCTTCCCCCATGGCGAGTTTGTGCGCGCGCCAGACGTCTCGTTGGAGTGATTTGAATGTGGTCTCGTTCTTCAGAATACGGCCCATTCTGTTCTTCGTGCTGATGTACTCGGCACTGGACATGTCAGGCGCTTCCTTTAGGCTTGGATCCGCCTCGATCTCAGCACGAGTGGGGATGCGACCATCAGGATGTTGACGAGTCCCCTGCGCAATAAGCTCATTCGGGTGATGCTGGATCCACGGGATAAAGTCGATCTTCCACTGAGGGTCATTGCCATTCATCTCGTTTAGGATACCCGCGAGCTGGAACGTCATCTCGTGATCCGTATACCGCAGAGTCTCATTACTGTCCTTGTACGTGACAGAATAGGGCAACCGCATCGGCCCCATCTCCGCCCACTCTTGTGTCCCAGCAACATACCGCGTTCGGAACCGCCCTCCGACGCGATCGCTGGCTTCAATAATTTCCCAGTTGTGGACGCCAACGCTGTCGAGCATTAGGCCTGTGGCAAGGCCGGAGATACCAGCGCCCGCGATGGCGATCTTGCTGTCCTTGGATGAGTGGCCGGAAGCGACGCCACCGTGTGTTTCAGTCTTTTGTTTGATGGCGGCGACACCGTCGAACCAGGCCCGAGTGAGTCGAAGTCTTTGAGGAGGGGAATGTTTGTATCGGCGACAGATCTTTTCTTCGCCATTCGACTCAGTCGGACGGGCTCACTCTTCCCCAGGAGACTTGGTTCTGACCTATCTGACTGGGCGCCATGGACGTAGATGCAGTTGTCCGTTGGGGCAACGTCAGAGACTGCCCAGGCGAGTCGCTGAGGGGGATGGCCTCCGACAGTAAAGCGACCGATGATCTGCTTCGAAGACGTATCAGGGCTCAGACAAGATGCGTAAACAGCCTCGATGATACCAGGGTAAGCTTCATGCCAGTCGAGGTAGACATTAGCCAGCCCACCAGGCTGAACAACATTGGACGTTGAAACTCGAACGATGTTCGTACCCTGAGGCCGGGTAAGCATGCAGTTTACTTGGGCCAACAGCAATGCCGCACTCGCAACTGTCTTGACTGCCATGTTTCGTTTTGAGTCTACCGGTCACAAAAGCAGGCGAGGGTCCGACCGGGGTTTATTCTTTCTGTCGACAATCTACAGGAGCACAAGCTTCCAGAGCCATGCCGCGCGTGAGGACCTTTCGAGCCTGCAGGAGAAGTCTCGCGACGATCGGCATGACTTTACGGCTCCAAATATCCAACAAGGTACCTAATCTGCAAATGCAGCTGCCATGGTCCTCATGGTCACTTTCTTGCACAAAGATGAATAATGTTAAACCCACTCAAGCTCTGCCAGGGTTCTCAGTTGAGGGCAATCGGCATGATAGGTACAAGGCCAAACTAATTAAGAGCAACACATAACATCCAGGGCAAATGTATGTACTTACTCTGGTTGTGGATAGGATATGGTTGATCCACAGTATGATTAATCCAACCCATGCAAATTATGGATTGATCCATGACCTATTTAACCCACTCTCCTTATCCATGCAGATAATAGATGTTGTGTGGGTCACGTGACTGCAACTGGCTTAGGCACTAATCACTGAGTTGCGGAATAGTTACTCAGCAACTGGCGGAGATATCTACAGCACATCACATGACCAAGTAGGTCTAGACCCTCTGCATTATTGGCGTTGGCTGCGTGCTGCTATTTCGCTTGATGCAACTTGATGGATTTGATCATATTCTTGATGGTTCAATAATCGATTGTTAGATACGGAATGCAGAAGAAAGGGAGAGTCATAAGTCATAATAACATTTACTAGGCAGAGGCAGTCGCGATGAGTAAGCATGTTTGCACTGTTTGTGCTTCTGTCCGCAACAGTACCTCGTAGCCCTAAAAGTAACCTCTGTTCAGATTACTACCTAATTTTTTTAGTATTCTAGCCACATTACTAGGATATCTGTATATTTTATTTCATGATAAAATGCCTTATTACATGAATATTATACATTGCCCATTATACAAGCTAAAATAGCCTTATATATGGGAGTAAGGGTGCTGCCTAAGCTTAGGATGAAAAGTAGCACTGAGATATACATATCTTGCCACCACCATCTTAATTACTATTATATAAGATTAAAATCTACTACAACTCTAATTTTTCTTACTAAATCTATATTTTACTTGATATCAAATGTGCAGATTGATGGGTTTGCGGATTGGGCCAGCCAGTCTATACACTACTGCCAGTGATGGTCTGAAGCCTGATGGCATTCTGTTGTGTCAACATTTCCAATGCCCGTCTGTTGGAGCCTGGTGAGATCCACATGTTTTTGTCATCACTTGTCATGTGCAGGAACTTCCGTGTGTATCGCAATGTCAAGATTAACGAGCTTGCCGCTGGCATAGCGGACAAGGTCTAGCTGTCACCTACGCTATCAGCCTGACTCGGATTTCCTAAGAAGTTGGCAACCGTGTGACCTGGGATGGAGATTGATCGAGCTGTAGAAGGCCGCTCGCGACTACATCTAAGCCTACTAGCGGATCTTCTGTAACGTAATTATCCACTGGTTGTTCCGCTTGAGACTGCATCCTCCGGTTTGGATCAACCCCTCTTCCCTACAACCTCACCCTCTCGACAGTATAATACGACTGCTTGAAGTCTAACTAGGGATAGTGCAGTGCGTGCAACCAGGCAGAGGGGGGTGGTGATTTGTAATTATTGTAAAAATACCAAAAGTCCACACTGTAGCTATAGTCCTCCGTACCCCTAAATAGCCCCCACTTGCCCCACAAGAAACCTGCTTGATCTCACGTTCTACCCTTTGCACAGAACTTCGCTCAGCTTTAGCTTCGAGCAAAGAGCGTTCCAAGCCATGGGTGCGCCCAATATGATACCAGAAATATGGTCTCTGGTGTTCCAATTTGTACGCTTCATACTAGGTTCTTTTCTGATGCATGCTCCAGAATCTAACCTTTGCTGCAATGCCATACAGTTACCTACTAGAAACGACCTCAGAAATGTGTGCAGTGTTTGCCGATTATTTGATGTGATTGCAACCCCTCTCTTGTACCGGTCACTTATTTTCCGCGACTCCGCCATCGCCGAAAGCCGCTGGTCCAGGCTACCCGATGATGAAGAAGTCGAGACACAAGATGAGGCTGATAATGTTCCCTTTAACCTCTTATGCAGACTCCTGGACGACCGTAATGATATATTACAGGGATTTGTGCGTGAAATTATTTTGGTTGACAAAACGAACGATATGAGAACAGTAGATCGTGTTTGGCGAAAGTTGCAGGCCCCCAACGATGTTCTCACTACTTTGGTAAACAGACTGCCAAAATTAGAGGTCATAGTGTATGTTGCAGGCTGACCTTTTTGGTTCTCTACATAGTTGATTGGCCTGTGCTAAAATTCGGATATAGCTTCCAGAAAAAGCTCCCAATAACAGATAGCTTTGTGAATGCCCTTCTCAGCCATAAAAAGTCTCCGAAGCTTCATCTCCTGGGAGAAGATGGCACAACTAGGGTCAACATTAAGATGCCCTTTGTGCAGAAACTGCATACTTCTGTAAATGCCCAAGCTAGAGCTCCCAGACACCGTCCGGAGACAGATAGATCCGGGGTCCGCGCGTGGGAGCCGCAGAGGTTGGCTTTGCATGAGCTTTTCAATGCCTTTCCGAACCTTGAAGAACTATCAGTATCTATCAATTGGCTGCGAGGAGGCTGTGTGATGGGTGGCCCGCCCTCTCCTACCAGGATACTGGAGCTTGTTCTATCCGAAGAAGCAACATTCCCACCGCTTAAAAGCCTCTCACTGAGTGGTTATCCTGTGCAAGGAGATGAAGTTGCTCTCTGGCGAGATATGTTCCCTTGGGACAGACTGCACTCTCTCAGTCTTGGCGTCCAGCTACTACCATCTATCAGGCTCTTGGAGCTAGCCACTGGAAAGGTGGTCAATTTGAAAGAATTTCAAATTACTAGCTACAATCGTTTGAGCTCGTCAGCTGTACTTGATGCCTTCTTGTGCTCATTTGATACTCTGGAAAGTCTGACCGCTAATGGGGCAGTCCCTTCATTAACTTCTGTGTTTCATCAATCCAACCTGAAGCATGTTTGCTTACATACGATCGAAAAACCTGAGAGGGAAAGAGAGACTCTGGATGCTGAGCAGCTAAAAGATTTAGATCAGCATTGCCCCAAGCTTACAGCCTTGGAAATTGATTTGGATCCGAATGGAACATGGGTAAGTCGTGACCTGGATGCCTTCCGCTGCTGGAGTTAATCTGTGTCTGTTTAGCCCGATGATATTATCAGTGTCATAGCAACCGCCTTCAAGAATCTTCGACGATTGTCCATTCATGTCGGACTAGGTATCGCTCATGCAGAAGCTTATCATTCAATGGAGGAGGAGTTTGCCCGAGTTTTGACAGAGTCAAAGGCGCAAGGCTTCGCAAAGCGGTTCTTTGAACTCAGAGAACCATCCGTTCTGGAGATGATTACGCTTAAAACAGGCGAAAGCTTGCGTTGGTTTCCGCAATGGCATCCAGGCTATGCCACCGCAGAAGAATACTGCACAAAGACATTTGAAATCTATCCTCCTCTTGAAGATAATCACGAGCCGCGTCTCAATGAGTTGAAAGGACTATACCTGTGATTAGAGAATGAGAGGAAGACGGCATGGCCTGTTATAATTCTATGAATCGCTTGAACGCAGATCCAAAGCCCCAATGGTTCAGCAGGTTTCCTCATGTTTTCAAATTTCCAGTTTTTCCACCTCTGACCTAGTACGCTCTGCTTCTCTTCTACTGATTTACAGCTATTTATCAAACTGAGGAAACTGTGAATTATGTGCATCCATTGAAGTTATGATATACATAGTAAATAGAGAACCCTCATCCGAATTCTTTGATATCTTATACTGCTACTTGTAATATATAGATACTTGACGGTTCAGTCATACTATTATTTCCTCTCTTATTCACTGCAATATATATATATGTATATATATATAGAGTACTAACATCTATTAACTAATCCTCTGCTTAATCCCCCGGCATAACTACTAATACCTACCTCTATAATGATAGCTTGCATTATTCCCATTATCCCCCTGATGTCTGATCACCCAGTGAGTAACCCGGCCACAAAGTACCCCTAGTGGTGACAGCCAGGGGCACCTTAACTAGCACATAATGCACCTCCTATGTTACCTATTATTCTCACTACTACTGGATGACTACTACTGAGCAGCTAATATAGAAACTAACACCATGGCCCTAGTAATAGCAAAGGTAGTAGACTAGGGTGATAGAGGGTGTAAAGGATTAAGGTATATAGGTGCGATCCGGTTGATCAGATCCGTTAGGATCTGGTCATAATGGCCTTTTGGCTGAGTTGGTAGTGGGTTGGACTGGACGCCCATCTATTACAGAGGGTTTACTAATTTTTAATAGAGAATAACACCTAGCATGAGGAACATAATGCCCATAACATAGGTAGGGGTGGCATATTACCTATTAGTAGACTGTGTGAAGCTTAGATACCTCTTTCGCATTTTCCAATAGGAGGGCCTATGGCGGAACCTAACTAGTAAGCAACCCTGTTTTTTAATCTTCTATCACTAGCTAATAGTAATATGGATGGCAGAGATATTTTTAGATGTAATTAGCATCCTGTATATTACCATCTAGGCCTAGATAGGAGAGGCAGCCCACTAGGAGGCTGCTACTAAGTTTACTAACTCCTAATCCTCTTACTACATCCTACTCACATCCTACTAATGTAGGGCTTATGGCCTTAACCTCTATATAGAGTATAGCCACATAATCCTCCTTAAGCCACCCTTGAATCTTAATATACTTTTTTAGGTGGTGGGATGTATCCACCGCCTTAGGCAGCAAAGCAGCCAGAAGGTATAGTCCATCTTCTAAGAGCATACTATATCTAGATAGTTAGAGTGTAATAACACACTCAAGGCCCTCCTGTAATTCTTAGCACAACTATATAATCTACTAAAGCCTATGGTCATGGCAGCATAGGTGAAGGATGATAGCAAAGATAAGTAAGCCACTAACCAGGCTAAGGCTAAGGTCATCCAGTAGGCTACAGTAGATTATCTCTGCTATATACTCAGGCAGCCAGCTAGTTAGCTAAATATTAAGCACCTAGATGACCTCAGCCTACCATAGTAAGATCTAGACTAGATAAAAGCCTACATGATGCCTAGGAGCCGCAAGAGAGAGAGAGTTAGGTAGGATTTACTAACTAAGGCCCACGCGTGATAAAAGCGCACTAAGGCTATAGCTAGTAAGGTAAAGTACTACCCATCCAATACTTACCCCTCCACCTTTCAACTAGAGCCAACATTCAGCCAGTGGTTTGGCTCTGGCTGAAAAGTCTAGGATTGTGAGTTTATCTATGTAACTAAAACTAACTAGTAATATAGTATAAATCTACTAAGTACATGATCTTAGACTCTAAGAAAGGGGCCCCTACTAAGGAGAGCAGCTGTAGTAAGTCCAAAGCTAGCCACTTAGGTTCAGATGCTAATAGTGGCAGAGACAGCCCTAGCCCTGGTAATAGGGGTCATCGCCCTGGCTCTCCCTATAATAATAATGATAACAGCAATAGGGATGACCATAGCAGCAGTGGTCAGGGCCCTAGCTCTTAGGATGATAATGATAATGAAAAGGTTAATAATAATAAGGATAGTGGTGATACGCGCGACCCTGGTTACCAGGCAAATCCAACCCTAGAGGAATCCACAGCAGCATAGGCGGTCCTACTAGAGGTGTATCACAATGCTCAAGATATAGCTATCACTAAGCTATAGCAGTTAGAGCTAGTATGCCCCTTACATTCATTCCTTACACTTCCCCTTAATATAGATATCAAGCTAACCTTAGGCTTCAGACTCATGCGCAGTAGCTGGCGAGGCTGTAGAGAGTTATTAGGGGCAGTAATCTGACTATGCCACCCCCTAGCTAGCAGGGAGTGATCAGAGTAAGTGCTGTAGGAGTAATTAAGATCTTAGGAGAGAGCTCTCTACTTAGCTCTACACCATCTATAGCACCACAGTCTCCAAAGTCTAATACCCTACATGGATTGCCCCCTAACTACTAGTCACCCTTCCTCCTGCCTCAGGCGCCCCCTGCGCAGTCTATAACCTAGAAATACAAATAATAGTAGCTAGTTAGTAAGTCTTCTCCCTTGCTCCCCTGCATGCTGCTATTCCTCACAGGCACTAATAATTTTTCAGAGGTGATAGCAGTAATAGGGTGGCCTTAGCAACACTAGTAAAAGGCTATATAGTATAAGGTCTGATCTTAGTATGCATCTTCTACTTTCAGCCAGGGCTAAAATCACTAGATCATCTCTGGCGGCCTTTATATAGCTTTTATTTCTGCCACCTTCTCAATCAGCAACTACCATGGTTCGCCATTCATTTAGCAACCACATCTACAGTATCAT